GCTATAGAGACAAGACCATTATTGTGGCTGTTGGGTAGTTGCATTGAATGAGTAGGTTGTACTCCACTGTTAACTTGAATTTCTTTTTAACTCTCTGACAATTATATTTACATATTTATAAAACATTTTTTATAAATGAATGATTATTTGTCTGACCTGAATGTGTCGTTCAAAAATTGTTTCTGAACACAGAGCCCTATCAAGTTGAGTATTCACATGGCCTGAGTTTTACGTGGGAATACACTGAAATTTCCAAACCGGCCAGATAACGCTGGAGAACAGGTACACTGGAAAGATATGCAGGCTGTGACACACAGCTCTTCTGAAGAACCGCACAGCTCAAGGGGGATCCGATGTAAAGATATGGAGGCTGGGAACTCCTGTGTGCACAGAGAAGACATTATTTACAAATAAAATGTGAACCCACTAGTTTATCCTCACCAAAGGAGGGACCACAACTTCATCTATTTTGTGAACAGTGGCATGAATGATACCGTTCTGGAAATTTGGCCCATCTGTGATTCTACATCTGGCATTATCATATCCTTAAAAGATCACAGAATGCTGTGTCTTGCCTGTGCGAGAAGTAATTTTGTTAGCAGGCGGCGCCTTGGCTCTGCACTCTCCTCCTGGGAGAAGGTGTGCTTTCCCCCAGGCTAGACTGCCTCCGTGAAACTTGGAGGGAGCTGTGTGAACTGTACCCACAATCTCGAGCTTGTCTGATGATTTTTATAGAACACATAGAGTCATCTCTTGCTTATCACCATGTGGACTTTTTTCTCTGTGGATGAGCTGTGGGAAAGTTTTTTTTTTTTAAACTTTTTATTTTGGAAAAACAGTTTAAATTTACAGAAAAGTTGCAGTAATAGTACAAGGAAATGCTGTGTATCTTCCTTCCAGGTTCATGCCCTCATTTTCCCAACATGTGCTTTCCCTCTTCACAAACAGACAGACAGACACATAAGGTTTTCAATCCAGGATCATGTATATCACAAAAATGTTATGGGCTATATAAACCATACATAATACGTTATCATTTTTGCAGAACCATTTGAAAGTAAGTTGCAGATATCATAACCTTTCATCACTAAATACATAGTGTATGTTTCCTAAAAACATTCTCTTACATAAGCATAGTATAATGAGTAAAGTCAGGACATGTAATATTGATACAATCGTATTAATTACCATTTATACACTTCTCATCCAAAGTTTACCAATGATCTCAGCACTGTCCTTTATTAATTTTTTTTTTTTTACCTCCAGGATCATACAGTATATTCAACTGTCTTCTCTGCTCAGCATGCACTAAATCTGAAATACTCCCTCCCCCTTTGTCGTTGTGTAGAATGCCCTCTGTTTGCACTGGACTGTTGATGTGATGGAGACCGTGCTTTTTCCCTTCGGCGGGGGAGGCAGGGACCCCACACAGATGGCTGCCTGTCCCCACTGTCACTGCCTGCACACTGGGCAGCCAGAATGTCAGTTGGTCCATCACTGGTGCTGTCAACCCTGGTTGCCTGGTTAGGGTGGTGCCTGCTGGATTTTCCCAGTTTAAAGATATGATCTTCCACCTTATAAACTAATTAAGCTGGGAAGGTACTGTCAGTCTATGAATATGCTGTCTCCCCTCCCCAGCCGCTATATCTATCTAGTAGCCAATGGTGGATTTTGTTTGATTCCTGACAATGGTGGACATGAAGTGCTGTTCTTGGTCCATCCTTTTATGTTTATTAGTTGGCATTGTAAAGCAAAAAAAAAAAAAAAAAAGAGCTTTTCCCTTTATTTCTCATTTATCTTATTGGATTTGATGTGGACTCGAAGATTTTTAAAGATTCCTTGTTATAAAATGGGAAGTTCTCAAATCTTCAATTCCCTTTTGGTTCTTCCGTCCTTCTACACAGTGCTCCCAACATGGTTTAAGCTGTCTCACAGAGACTCCGTTTACCTTGTCTAGGTAGTCTGCAAAATTTAATTTTAGCAGTTTTGCACGTCATGCCCTCCAAAATTAAATGCGATTAACTTCTGGATCAAGCGCTGTTTTGGAATACCCAAAGCTCCCTGTATTGGGATGGATAATTGTGAGTTGGCTAGTTTTATGAGCATGGATGCTGAGTGAAGGACTGAAATTGTTTAGAACTGTCCAATGGAAGCTTTCTGTTAAACAGTGTGAGCATATCTGAGTCTTGATCTTGGTTCTCCTTGACAAAACCATGCGATCCCAGTGTTGACCCCCAAGGCAAGTTAGATGGGCCCGGTGTACAGAAGGAAGCCCTATAGGGCTGGGGCATGTTATTTCTTTTACTGTCATTTTCAACTTCTAAATGCAAATAAACATGTTTCTCTTGGCCTTTCAACACACACTGCTGTTCTGCTGTTTTAGTTTTTGGAAGGAAATAAGGTTACTGCTCCTTAGAACATTAGATTTAAAAAGCAAATGCTCAGTTAATCTATACTCTTTCTGTTTTTTAAAGGAAAATCAATAGCTTACACATAAAACCTCATGCTTCTGAAGGTTTTGTTAAGTGACCTGACGTGTTCCCAGGTACCTTCCCGAGAGGACTGTGTGGTAGACTCAAGAACATAGTGGGTATAAACATTGCATAATATTGTGTTGTCCTTTAAACACCTGCTTAGACTTAAGGGGGGAAATGCTTCTAATCTTGAATAGAAATTTCTTTTTAATTTTTATTAAATATTAATAAATATTTACTACTTAAATATTATTACATTTATTAAATCTATTTAATATTGCTCATTTATAGTAGAGCCTCTTGACAGTTTATGTGGTCTCATTTTATACATAAATATCATGGCATAATTTTTGCCTGATATGCTAACAGCTTATAAAGAGGCTGATGTTTATTGAGAGCTAACTACATATTCGGCATTGTTGTAAAGCAGTGCTTCTCTACTGCCTGGGAAGAAGGGTAGGACTTATTCAATTATTTATAATGTCTGACCCGTTGCAAACTAATAAATGATTCTCCTGCACGAGGCTAGCGTGCAGCTCCAGGCTCACGCACCTCAGTGGGCAAGTTCAATGCTCAAACTGGCCTCCAGCCTGTTCAACAAGATCCCACCAATCCTGAGTTTGGATGTAATGGCCGCATGAAGGGGCTAAACACTTTCTCGTTTCCCTGATTCCTACTTACAAACAGCTTGTGGACCAACAGTAGCAGACAGGCCACACACTGCGTCACTGTCTTATGTAATCTTTGCGATAGCCCTCTAAGAAAATTACTACCTCTATCTCAACCTTGCAGAGGAGAGGAGGCATGGTGTGCTTTCCAACCTGAAGAGCCCACACTCAGCAGGTAGAAAAACGAGAGTTTAAACCCAGGGAGCCGATACTCAGAAGAGCCAGTATATGAACCCGAAAGACCAACTCCGAAGCTCGTGCTCCTCCCCATCCGCTGGTTTCATTTTAACTATTTGTGAAGAACAATGTGATTTAGGCCATCAGACGAGGACCTCCTCAGAGTCTATAAGCCTACCTTCCTCCGACTATCTTGGTGGAAGAGGAAACGCTCCCTTGTCCAAGTGTTATGATTCCATCCTGTCTCTTTGGATGCTCTTGGCCCATTGGCCATCCCAGCCGAAGCAACTCTGCAAGGGCAGGAACTGTAGGCATCTTACAGACGAAGCAGCTGAGGTTTCTGAGAGGCTGAGACACTCACCCAAGCATGCAACTAAGGCAATGTGTCCACAGGGCGACCCTGTTCCATCTTGTGAGGGAAGGTGTCAGTTTATTACCCTGGCATGTTTGGCTGGTTAGTGCCTTCCTTTCATCCTCCGGCATTCCACTTTGGACAGTATGTTCCCATTGCTGGCCAGTGGCAGAGACAGAATTCGCATGCTGATCTGTGTGACGGACTCCAAACCCAGGGCTTTCTATTATCCTAGGCTTCCTCTCTACATTTCAAAATGATAAAGTCTAGAAGATTATTTTCCTAGTCATTATTCATTCATTTAGCACACCCTTATCGAGCACCCACTATGTGACAGACACGGTGCTGGAAGATTTAATTTAAAAATGCACAGGGCACAGTTCAAGTCTTTAGAAGCACATCATTTAGTGAGGGAACAGATGACCCCTGAATGCTCGTAGTCAGGGCAGCCTGTGGAATTTGCAGGGCCCAGTGCCAGGTGCGAAAAGCAGGCCCTTTGTTTAAAAGTGAACAATTTCAAGATGGTGACAAAAGGAAACTAAACGAAGTGTAGTTGTGTTTAATGAATGGAGGGCAGTCGGGGTATCACAGAGATGCATAGGAATTACCTGGGATGCAGACCGACTTGAAGATGGCTTTCTAAAGGACATGAAAACTGGGCTGAGCCTTGGCATGAAGGTGTCGCCCCTCCATGGACTTTCTTCTCTGTTTTTTAGACTACAGGGTATTGTGGAGAACCACTTAATCGGTCACTTTGACCTAAACATTATCACCAAGGATGTTCTGCCACCACACCACCTGATTCTCTCCCTCCGGATCTGTGACATGCTGTGGTGGGCAGAGATGAGCTGCCCAGGTCTCCCTTCAAGGACCTGTTGCCCCAGCTGCTGGAAGTATTGCCCAGTAGGCAGCCTTCAGCCACCAGCATTTGGGGGACAGCCTGCAGGCAACAGCTGATCAAGGGGGAGGTATTGAATGAAGGCCTGGCTGCTGGCAGGACAACCCTCCAGGGCCACCTTAGCTCCGGAGCTCACAGTGGTATCAGCTAAGGTTGTCTGGCCAGCCATTCTACTCGATTTCTCCCTCAGCCCTACCCAGCTCCTTCCCTCTCGGTCTCAAAAGTGTTGGTCCCAAAGGTACCCCTAATGAACATCCTGCACACTAATCTCCATCTCAGTCTGCATACCAGAGAACCAAACTGCAATGGTGTCGAGAGTCCAGTAATTACAGAGTATTTTTACTCAAAAATTATTGTTTACACATATCCTTTATTTCTAAATCCACAAATGGAATATAAAATGGTGGAAAGACTGTGTGTGTGTGTGTGAATATGGTTATCTCTTGATTTAAATCCTCAATTTGATAAAGCTCAACATCCACCATGCAAACACATACATCACATTTGGTGGAAATTAATCCACGAATTGATTGCATTTCTCGAGGAAACCAGTAACTATGTTTTAGTCTGTCTCCTTGTGGGATATTGTAGTTCATAACTCTGGTACTTTGGGAATAGAATTTTTTTGGACACATGTTCAGTTTTAGGTCATTTGTTAATGAAACTTCACTGACTATAAACATGGCTTTTAGAACATTTTTCTTGTTTTAATTTGAATGTTCTCCATTTTCTTCCTTTTAAGTGAAAAGATTCCTTCTCCATCATTCCACTTACTCAAATATAAGCATGTTGGTTCCTGAACTACCACTGCAGAATGACAAGGAAGGTTTTCTCTTGAGATGTGGGGTCCAGAATGTCATACAGTTTTCTAGGTAAAGGTGAATGTTAAAAACCATCCAAAACAGAACTGGTTATGTGAAGTGACTGACATATCCAGATGCTAAGTCTCAAATACTTCACGGCAACAGATTCTGAACATCACCGACTTTTCAGAATTCGATATGGAACAAATATTGAGGTTTGAGGAAAGGAGCTTCCAGTATCTCCAAACTGTCAGAAAGGAAAATACAGATCTCATCAGGTCACATAGGGACGTGTTAGCCTGTTGCTACGTTAACAGTTAACTCATCCATCATCACCACACTTAGTGAATCTAGCTCACTGCCTCCGTGAATTGGTTTGGACTGCTTCTTCGTAAGACACCTACCATTTACGGTGTTATCAAAAGCATTTAGCATTCGATTTTGTTTGTATCTCACTCATACAAATGGAAATGACAGAAGAGTGTAAGAGGAAACTTTTGGAGGTGATGGATATGTTGATTAGATAGATCGTGGTGGTTACATGGTATACACTTACCTCCAACCTCATGAATTTGTAGATATTAAATATGTACAGTCTTTGTATGTCAATCATACCTCAATAAAGTGGCTTTAAAAACCAGAACTTAGAAAATACTTACTACTCATCGCTTTGGTACTTATCCTGGAATTGGAGAGAGGTAGTGTGATTCATTTCATTAATCAGAGAAAACAGAGACCCTGACCCTCATGTGCCAAGACCTTCAAGACAGGCCACTCTCTGTGGATCACAGGACAACTCAAACAGACTCACAGTTTAAGCAGAAAATTGTTTCCCAGATGTGGATTAGTCCATTTTACATGATCAAGCCTCTGAATTTGAGTGATTCTAAAAGAAAAGCAGGCAGAGAACTCTGTTCTTAGTTAACTCAATTGTGAAGTACAGCCTGCAACAGAAAAGTGTAGCAAATAAATGAAGAGCCCAATACTGTTCTAACCACCACCTAGCTCCACCAGAGTATTTTACACACCCTGAAAGTTCCCCTTTTATTTCACTTTGAACACTATAGTTTAATTGTGACTGTGTTTGAACTTTGTATAAATGGAATATAAACATTCTTCCAGGTCCGGCTTAAATTTCTGAAATTCACCTGTGTCACTGATGTAATTGAATGACTTTCATTGCTTTGGAGTTTCTAATATATGAGAGTTTGTTTTCTTTTTGTTGTTGATGAGCATTTGGGTTATTTCCAGTTTGGGGCTATTAGAAATCATGTTTCTAGGAACATCCTTGAACACAACATCTCTTGGAGCACAAGTGTGTGTGTTTGGAGTAGAATGAATGGATCACAGAGTGTGTGGCTTGAGTCAATGATGTCCGACTGGTTTTCAAAGTCATTTTCTCAAAATACACATTTTAATACACACAGTAGTTGCAAGGAAATGGAGTCAGTCAGGCTCCTTCATCCTGACTTCTGAGAGGCTGTGACTTAGCAGTATTCATGTAACCTTGAGCATGGGCCCCTATGCGCAAAATCAAACTCTGTTATATAATGTCTTGGCATCCTGCCGGCTTTGTATGCATTTAGTACATAAGGGAGTCGGGACTTCCTGGGGTGTGGCTTGTGGCTTGCAGCGTGTGTATTGCCCCACCCTGGAATAAAGGCATGTCAGATATCCTGATGGCTCCAAAAATTTTCTTTCCATCTGCTCAAGTCCTGTGTGAATCTGCCTGACCTTGACCACTTCTAGAACAGTAGTGCACGAGAGTTCCACCTGCTCCGTTGGCACCTGACTGGCATGCTTGGCCATTCTAATGGCTGTCTAGTGGTATCTCATTGTGGTTTTAGTTTATATTTTCCTGGTAACTAACGAGAGTGAGCACTTTTCCAGTTATTGGCTATTTGGGTATTCTCTTTTGTGAAATGTCTATTCAATCTCTGTGTCTATTTATCTAACCAGGCTTTCTGTGGGTTAATGAATGCCAGGAGTTCCTTAGGTTCTAAGTACTGGTTCCCAGACTTCAGTCTGCATCAGAATCACCCTTTTTGGGGTTATGAAGACAGATTCCTGGCCCCCACCCCCAGAGGTTATGACTGGGTAGATACGGGGTGAGAAACAAGAATTTGCACTTCTAACAAGTTCCCAGGTGATGCTCAGGCTGCTGGTCCAGGGACTATACTTTGAGAACCCCGTTCTGCAGTGTTTTAAATGGACCACCAACAGATGATTCTTGTTAGTCTAGGACAAAGCAACCTTTCAAAAAACAAAAACCTCAACAATCTAATACTTGTTCAAGCCCAGGGCATAAGCTAATACTCTCTCCTTGTTCCTGCAAGTGGGACAACTGGGTTTGCTTCAGTAGCAACTATGTTAACCTGCCCTGAAAACCACCTATCTGCTGAGAATGTTCGGTCCACCCCATGAAAAGGTCAAGAGAACCTGCCAGTCATGGGAGGTATCTCAGGAAAACTCAGCGACTTTCAACCCAGCAAGGGCGCGCGCCAGCAATCCCTCTAAGAACAACAGCACGGAACTCTACACAGAGATGAAAACTGTCGTTTATTTCAACTAGATTTTGTTTCATTAAAAACTCTATGATGCAAGTAAAAATCACATAGAAACAGTTTTAAACTGCCTTTGACCTCTAAAGACAAACTAAACACACACACGTTTCCAATATTTCCACTGCTTCAACAACCCTCATGGTTACCCTCGCTGTTGTCCCAGTCTCCTGAAATACTAACCTTGACTATCAAACAGCTGATTGTTTCACTGGACTAGACGTTGACCATAATATTTTTAGACAGAAAATGTTCAACAGCTACTGCACTCACGTCATTTTGGTAGCTCTGTGTATGTGTGCGTGTGTGTGTGTTTAAGGCTTGATGCTATAAAACATTTGTTTCTGTTGAAGACTCCGAAAACCTGCTCTGTGAAGGCATAGAGGTATTATTATATTCGAGTTGAGGGTGGTTATACCTTATTCTGAGAGGTTACGAGAGTCCACTTAAAACCAGGACAGTCAAATCTTCAGTCACTTGACCCCAAGATACTATAGCCATCACCATCGAGAAAAACTAAAGACCCACAGTTCAAGGAGAGCACAGAAGGCCCTGGGATGCAGCGTGATCTGTCCATTTGCTAGTCAGAAAGGCCTAAACAAACTGCTCTCGTGGTGGATGGGAAACTTCCGTAACTGGGGTTGGCCTACACACGGGAGCCTTCTGGATGCATCCTGAGGATACACTGTGTGAGTGCAGTCAGTGTCTGCAGTGATCTTCGTTTTCTTCCTCACCAACGCAACACAGTCCACGTGGGCAGTTTAGAAGGACGTTCAATAAAGGCTACACCAAAGGTTTATGGTCAGAGGAAGGTCGGCCGGCAGAAACCCAAATGAGAGGAGCATTACCTATTCAGGAATTAGCGGGAGCGGTTTGCCTTTTCCCGACAACATCAGCACACTGCGTCTAAAACTGCACCAGCGACCATGGCAAAGTCATGCATATTTAAAGATGGTCAATGACCACACTTGGGTCCTTCATTACTATGTCGCCTACAAGTGCTTCTATTTTGAGAAAGCATTATTTTTCTCTTCCTTTTCTTTTGGAACATATAATTAAATACTGCCTCTCTATATTTTAATGATATCCATTTTTTTGGTGGGGGGAGAATATACTTTCCCTACTCTAACGCCACTTACACTGAAGCATATTTTTTGTTTTTCCTATTAGTTTTATCTGTGCTATTTGAGCCGGAAGCCTGTGGGGGGGAAACTAATGGATCCTAAGTATGTTGAAGAAAGTGGTAAGACAACACGGTGAGGTGACGTCACACAGTTTTCAAGTAAACAGAATCCCTGATAGAACCGGGAAGTAATATGTAATTTGTGGGGGGAGGGAAGTATCTCTTCCGACATTGTCTCGCACCTCACAAAATGAGCCTTGGCTCTGAGTCTCTTAAGGCACAAAACCTGGTAGAAAGCTTTTGTTGGTGACCTGTACTTCTCGTGTAGATAAGGAAAAAATACTATAACATATAAATATAAATATAAATAATAAGTAACTTTGATAGAGCCTGAGATCATTGGATGAAGTTGGAGTCCAAATCGAAACAAACTAACGTCTTATATGTGTTAACTATTTGGTTCTAGTGTAAAAAAAAAGTTTAGTGTGGTTCAGACAGTGCAAAAATATTGGAAAAAATGTCTTCAGAGTAGGCTGGACATCGTGGTAGAATCACAGGGCTGTCTCAAAAATAGTGAAGGCTGAGGGCTGTTCATTAGACGTGCTCATAACCACAGGGCCATTCTGGGTAATGTCCGGATAATGCCTTCTGAAGTACGCCTGTAATAAAACAAGGAAAAGACAGGCATAAAAAGAATGCGTTTAAAGTTTTAAAGTCCTTCTCCCTAGGGCAATGCATTTCTATGCCCACGGCTTCCTGTGAAGCCAACTCCTATCACTCATAGGAGCACAATTAAAAAAGAAATACAGGGATACATTTATTCTGTAAAGGAAGTCGCCCTATTAAAAACCCTCACCGAGGCCCGGCTCATTGCCAGACAACCTGTAGATCCACTTTAGTTCTGATCGCTCTGATTGGCAGATAGGTCTTATCGCTACATTACATTGATAAGCAGAGTCATTTTACTGACTCAAAACCTGGAGATAAATTAAAAACAGGGTGACAAAGAGGACGGGAAATCGAGCGTCTGCACAAGGGTTTCTCATTTTCACACACAAAACGAACACAATAGATTTGGATGTTAATATCTGGTTGTAATCCCTGTATTTTACCAACTCTGATGGACAAGTATTGAAACGCCGGCGTATATGGATGAAATATCCCGGCGTTTAATTTGTGCGGCAGCGCAGTTATGCGGCCTATAGAAATGTGATCTGGGGACAGTGGGCACAGTAATGAAAAGAGAAGCAAAAGCCTGAACAATGACTCAACCAAGCAACCTCTCTAAAAATGGGAGATGATACCAAATAATAGGACGGTTCTTTGCCGGGCCTTTGAGTTCCTGCATTCTACCAATTTCTAGCTGCACTAGGAAGAGATACAGGCTTCCTGATAAATGTATAATCAGGACATAAAGGAAATGAAATGCTGTCAAGTTCCTCTGTTCCGCAATCATCAGTTTTTAGCGGCTGTATCGTATCTCGGTTCCTTGACAGATACGCATAACAAAATGAAATAATGTCATGACTTGGGAGCTCTTATCTCAAAATGTGTTTGGGTGAAAAAGGCCTTCAAATGTAATTTTTTTTCTCCAAAGACGAATGTGAAAAGTTTTGTGTGCGTCTTTAAAACAGAAAATGTGCCATCTATCTGAGGCTGACAAGTGTCATGAGCTGGGTCCCTTCGGCACACGATTCCGGATCTCTTTTAGAAAACCCGGCTGCAAATCCATGCGTGGGTGCTGTCAACCCAGTCATCATGGAGAGAATGGCCTCCACGTACAAAAATGAAAAACACAGAGACAGCCGCCTTCCCGTGAAGTGTCCCCTCCCTTTCTCTTGTTGCTGACATACTTGCTGTTCCCAAAACATCCCTGTGTGGGAAATACTATACGCTGTCACTTTCGGAGAAAAACAGGAAATCCTTCCATAAGGCTGGGCCCCTACTGGGTGGACCCTGAGGCTCTTCCCATGAAAAAGCATGTCTTTAAAAATAAAGTTTCTATTGGGGGCTCCTTTACATTATCCCCCTCCTCCAGGTTTTAAAGAGAGCCATATTTTGTGTTGTTGGAGCTTATGTACTCCAAAAAATACAAAGAAACCACATTTCTTGGTGAAATTACAAACAGCCAGAAGGCCTGTCTCGCTCCCAGGCTACCTTGGCAGCTGCTCTTGGTGGGGGACCCAACGCAGGAAGTTGGTGGCTGCAAAGAAGACAAAAGAGTCACTGGTGTTGATCAACTGGAGGAGGCTCCGACTGGTTAGGAAAAGTGGAAAGTGTGTGCTGAGGCGCAGGCTGACCCCGAAGGTGATGAGACGAGACAGAGCGGGACTGGTCACCCTCACCAACCACTGTCCCGCCTTGAGGGCATTGGGGGCAGAGTGCCAGGCTGCGCTGGCCAGGCCTGGGGTCTGTCACCACCGCACTGGGCAGTGAGTGGGCAGTAACACTGCAGAGTGTGCACTGTTGTCATCAAGCCAGGTGACCCTGCCACAATTAGCAGCACACCAGGACAGCCGGGTCGGGAGGACATCCTGCAGCATTGTTCTTTAGTAAGACTGGCCAGAGCTCGGTTTAAAAAAACAAATAAATAAAAGTAAACCAAAACTGCCCAAAGGACAAACGGAAAGTCATTTCATTTTCTACTGCCTGACTGTCCTCCTCAAATAAGCCCATTAATTCCTTTCCCCGTGACCCTCTCAGTGTCATGTATTCAGTGAAGGGTGTGTCGTTGTTAGCAACTGTCCACTAAAATGGTCTTAGCTTCACGGCCGAAGTGCTAGAAACTGAACAGGGGAAACGGCCTTCCTGGGTATACACCCTTTATTTGACCTTCCCTGTTCTCATCTGTGGCCACGTTTCACAGCACCCTCTGCCCGCCAGCAGAGGTGCAGATGGCGGCAGGCTCACAGCGCGGCGGTGCAGGGAGATGCCGTGACTGGGCGCTTGCCCGAGGGGTCCTGGTGCGCAGGCTAAGCCCACGGAGGGGGCCAGTCTCAGCTCCCTGTTCTGGGACTCACTGCTGATCCCAGAAAAGTCGCTTCACCTCTCTCCATCCTGGCTGCCTCATTTGGGAAATGAGACAATGACTTACCTCATAGGAACTAATTAATGGCTACAAACTGCATGCTGAAAACCTGCGGAGTTAAGTGCTGGGTGTGGTTATGGTGCTGCTCGGAGAAGTGGCCCCTCAGCCCACAGAACGCAGCAGCATCGCCTCCCTTGGATGGTGAGAACAAAGCATCTGGGAAGCCCTTTCGTGGATCTTTTGATATTGTCTCTACAGAGCCCCAGAGCTGTACGGGGACACGTCTAATCCGATGGGAAAACCCAGGAGGCAGGAGGGCAGTGGAGAGGTTACGGAAGTAGTGGAGCACCAACTGGTGACTCTGAGCAGTCACTGGGGCTCTTCTGCCATTTGTCAAGAAGGGATAATGCCAACACAGAATGGTCTGTGGAGATTCAAGGAGACAATGCCGTACGCGTTCAAGTTCAGGGCCAGAAGGATGTTAGACCAGTGAGTGTCCGGTTTCTTGTCTCTCTTCTCCTCCTTCTCTTGGGTTTGGTTCATTATAATTTCTCTAATATAGGCTGAACCTGTATGGAGTGTTTAAGGTGTAAATTGTCAATAAAGCCACCATCATGGAGTTAGAGCGTATTAAACATGACAGGGCTATGAAGTTCCCCTGCACCGATAATGGGGAGCATTTTTGGTAACACTGTATTCACAAGGTGTGGTGCATTACTCGGTACGTTGAATTCTGGCTCAGAGCTCTGTCAGTTCATTCTCCCTGAACTGTGCGGCCCAAGCTCAGTGGCAGTAACTCTCAAGCTAACCTTTAAAACAGGCTGACTTTGGTGTACATGTCAGCCTGCGCATTATCAAGTTAAAGAATACTGGCGAGTTAGAGAGGACTTTCACTTTTAAGATAATGAAAATGAATTTGCTCTCTCTATACCCTCTCAGAAACCACCCTAAACAGCTAAAATATGAGTTTTTTAAAGCCCATCTTTGAAAAAATCAGGAGTCACCTGAAATCCCAAATGGCAAAATATTTAGAAGAGCTGCCGTACACAGCTGAATCCAACGGGGCTGGGACCAGACAGAGAGAGGGCAGCGGCGGGAGCAGACCTCGGCAACCATGGGAGAGCACAGCTCTCCAACTAACTGGCAAATTCCAAGAAAGGTGTGTCCATGAGGAACCACAGAGAACCGCCATCTCTCCCTGAAGCATGCACACTGGTCAGGCCCTAGGTGAAGAGAGACCCTAAACTGCAATGGGCATCATAACTGCCCATCTTTGCAGCTGGGGAGGAGGGCCGGCTACATGGATACACATTCTCAATTTTTCTCTCGCTCACCTGCACACACACTCCCCTGTTCTTTTGAACCACAAGGAGCTTCCTTGCTGAGTAGAGAGAATGCTCCTTAGCCTAAAATAATGCCCTGGCCACAACTATTCTGCAAATAGATGGTCTAGGAAAAACTCACTTAATTCAAAGGTCAGTAGTAGGACCTTTCATAATAATACTGCAAAAGTAATAGTACAGGATCTACAAAATACAGAATAAAATGTGAGGAAAAGGAACAAGACAAGCACATGACGGATGAATACTTACTCTCTGAACAAGTCAAAATTATGACAAATGTATGTAACACGGTCAAAGAAAATATAGTAGAAGAACCAGCCTGTGAACAATTGAGATCTGGCAGTCCAGGGAAGCACGGTGCCGGAATGGAAGATAATGATGTATGAGTTGGCAGAGCCCAAAGGTGAAATGGAAGAGAAAAATGAGAACATCCAAGCAGCAGAAGTTCCACTGAAGGCAACACTAAGGAGTTCAGCCACTGCTGGTGGAGTGGGAAGAACAGAATGAAACGTGGAGGAAAGGATCGAGAAAGCGAGCAAAGTAACTGGAAATTAATAAAAGACAAAGGATAACATACACATGATACAGAAGAGAATCAAATAAAAAATTCGAAGATGTAATTCAAGTAAACTTCCAGAAATAAAAGAAGACTTGAAATTAGAGACCAAAAGTGTGCTGATATCCTAGGAAAGATCAAATTATGTTTGACTGGGCTGCAGACTTCTCTACATGAATAAACAAGACCCGAAGACCCTGGAGCAAAGATGACCCAGAATTTTTACAGCTGGAGAATTTAAATAGAAAGGTAGCAGACACATATCCCATACATACATGTTAAGCCGAGGGTTCCAGCTCCAATGAACCCTCCTTTAAGATGGAAAAGTACGTTGATTTTCAACCTTTCCTTTTTACTGCCACCACAATGCTAACTACATCCCACTTTACAACGAGACTCTGTACAAATTCTCTACCCACACCTGTACTTATTTGTATTGACAGGAGTCTCCCAAACTAGTTACTATGACTATGAAGGATTCATTGTTATTTTTCTCTGTTCCATTCTTTCCTATTTCATTTCCTAAAACACCCTGGTCGCAACCGACTCAATGGATCTCACAGCTCCACTGATGGATCAAAGCCCAAAGTTTAGCCAACTCAGAGATGGAGAAGTCCATATTTAAAACAAGTAACATAGTAGTGATTCAAGTGTTTTTTTTTAAGATTAGAAGGTGAATAGAAGAAAGCTAAACAACCAAAACTTGGTGGCAAAACAAAGAGAGGGATGATATGTTGTCATTGTTTGTCAGGGGAGTCAAATAATACTAAAGAAATAAAGTCTTCCTAAAAGAAATAAAAACATACATAAAGCAATATGCAAAAAACCCAAAATTACATACCACAAATTAAAAGCTTAAAAAAAAACAATAAAAACTGAAAGTATAACAAATGTGACAGAACAAAGAACATACCTATAATCTCAATAAACGTAAATGGACTAAACTCATCTGTTTAAAAAAAGGCTAAGATTAAATCTCAGAACTAAGCCTAATTGCATGCCATTCACCGAAGGTACATCTACAGTTTGACATCTTTATAGACATTCCTGGAAAATGAAAGAAAGTGACAGCAGGGGACTCAGTTTTAGTTTTAAACCAACTTGGATTCAGGGCCAGGAGCATTAAATGAATCAAAGACAGGAACTTTAAAATAGTAGAAAAAAAATTTTTTTAAGTAGAAAATAGAATTCATAGTGAGCCCTGGCTGGTGTGGCTCAATGGATTGAGTGCTAGCCTGCGAAGCAAGGAGTTGCTGGTTCAATCTCCAGTCTAGCACACATGCCTGGGTTGTGGGCCAGGTCCCCAGTGGAGGGTGCGTGAGAGGCAACCACACATTAAGTAGATCTAATTAAAGTTATTAAACTATCTCCCCTAAACAGACAATAGTTCCTCTTTTCACATGTCAGAAGAATATTCACGAAAATTGCTTATATATGAGGACACAAAAACTATTAATATTATACATACTGTTTCTGAATGGAAATAGTACAGACAGCATTTTTTTGCTCACAAGGCAATGAAAGTCAACACTGATGATGACAGAAAACAAACATAAAAGCCCCTATTCACCAGAGAATTTTAAAGACCTCCTTCTCAAATAACTCTCAGACCAAAGGGAAATCAAAACCTACTTTCAGGATCTCTATATAAAAACTTAGACTATGAGAAAAGCACCATATACCAGAACCTATAAGATATAACTGGAACAATATTCAAAGAACAGTTTATAGCCTTGAAATATTTATACTAATAAACAAGAAAAAATAAAAGCACATGCATTCAAGAAGTAAATGACAATAAAATAAACCACAGAAAGAAGGAATGAATAAAGATAGACACAGACAGAATTGATAAATTGTAAGACAGCATTTGAAATCAAGTAAATTTGAGAGCTCCTTCTTTAGGGAAAAAATATAAAACCCTTAACAGTTAATCAGAAGGAAAAATAAGGAGTAGGGAAGGAGACAGCATAAATACCACATTTTGCCATGTATGGTGTGCACTTTTTCTGCCCAAATTTTTGAATGAAAAATGAGGATGTGCATTATATATGGGTAATACCTGAAATACTGTATCCTTGTGTTTTGTAATTATTTGTTACATACATTTTCTTGTACCATAATATGTTCAAAAATAAATGTTAGCCCTGGCTGGTATAGCTCAGTGGATTGAGCGCAGGCCTGCGAACCAAAGGATTGAGGTTCAATCCCCAGTCAGGGCTCATGACTGGGTTGCAGGCCAGTTCCCAGCAGGGGACACACGAGAGGCAACCATACACTGATACTTCTCTCCCTCTCTCCTTCCCTTCCCCTCTAAAGATACATACATAAAATCTTTTAAAAAATAAAATAAATGCTAAAATTCCTTTACAGTGCAAAAAACAAGTATCTAAATACAGATAAATACATACAAAATTGAATCAAAATTAAAATGGGACATCTTTTTCCTGAAAGTTTGGGCCAAAAATGTGGGAGTACATTATACCCTGCAACGTACAGTACTAAGTAGCCATGGAAAAGAATGAGATAACTATATGCCTGGGTATAACCTGACATCTAATATTACATTTAAAAATAGAGAACCGAGTATCATTTGTACTTCAAAGCCGGAGTGTCCACGCATGGCAGAGAAACACTGATGGCAGTCCCTGGTGCCGGGGCTCTGTTCTGGGCAGGCGCCATGACGATGGCAGTGGCGGGGTGACTTCTTTTTAAAAACTAACTAAAAAGTAGAGATTTTGGATTTTTAACGTTCAATGTACTATTTGTTAAAAAAGCTAATCGTCATACACAAATATCAATCACTGAGAGTCTCTAAAGCGACTTAGAAGAACTTTGGATTTGTCTTTTGTGCTTTTGTGGTTCCAGAGGCAAAAGAGTTCAATGCTCAGCCTTGGAAAAAATGACCCAACTTTTCTCATGGACAGGCAGCCTCCTTTCACATTTGGGAAAAGCTCCGTCTTCCCCAAAGCGCCGGAGCGTGGCTCTTCTTGTCGGATCCTGGTGGAGCAGGGTGAAGAAGCGGGGCCGCTGAGGGCAGAGACGCTGGGCGACTCATCAGCCCATGTGGCTCCTGAGTGAGAGCCCCTTTCACCATTCCAACTGGTCCAGGCGCCTAGAATCCAGGGCCTGGGCATTTTGTGACTTTGGGATTTGCATCTGGTGATGTCACGAAGAGATAACACAGCACCTCTGCCACATGCTGGGAACAGAGGGTCTTCAGAAACCTCAGTGCAGGTCTGCTCCATCAGGTGAGAGAGGGAATGACAGGCCTTCACCCTGCGTTACGGGCTGAACTGTGTGCCCTCAAAACACATGAGGACGTCCTGACCCTCAAATGTAACTGGACGTGGAGATAGGGGTCCATTGGGTTAAAACAAGGTCCCACCAGTGGGCCCTAATCTAATATGCCAGGTGTCCTTACAAGAGAAGGAGGTGAGGACACAGACACATGGAGGGGGAAAAGCATGTGGAGACAGGAAGAGAGCCAGCCATTAACAAGCCAGGGACAGTGGCCCCTGGCTTCCAGGACGGTGAGGAAACAAATTTCTGTTGTTTAACCGACCTATCCGGGGCCACTTCACTATTGAAGCCCTGGCGAACTAACGTGCCCTTCCACGTCATGTCTCCAAAAAGCACTTTCTCTACAATGTCATGATCATGAGTGATTCAGCCCCCACACCAACATTTTCACAGGAGCACCTATGTGGTCCAGAAAACATAATTTCAAAGTAACTTTTCCCGGGTGTTGAGTTTTCTTTTCAAATGAATGAATTCTAATCCGCCAGAGTGAAAAGCTTGCTGATTTAGTTAACGACCCTCTTGGTGTTAGTTTGGATGATGCATTGCTAGCTGTTGCTTGCACGTCTGGTTGGCAGTCTGGTGGTGTGTCTCCCCAGGGGACTGAGCATGTGCAGGAAGAACGCCAAGAAGGTGTGCAAAGGGAATGAGAATCGAGACATGTCTTTCCTCATGTCTTTTTGTGGGGGGTGACCTGAGCCAGTGTAGGACTAAAATCCAAGAGTCGTGATCTGCCCCCACGAAAACTTGAGGGACTGGCCCCACCTTGGACACCACAAGAGACAAGGAACAGCCTTTTCAAACTGGACATGGCACGCGGAGCCGGGGTGGCAGCCAACCACTCCCTGCCACTTTCCACCAACCGGCGCTGTGACCCAATCTCCTCACCCATGAAGTGGGATAAGAAAATAGGAGAAGTAAAATCGCACGTGTGAGAACCACGGGAAATAGACTGTCAAGAACAACACATGTAATTTACCATTCGCACTGTCCATTTAGGTCAAAGATTACTGGACCAGGAATCACGAGACTCCTAATGCCATGACCTATGTGCTTTTCTGTATGTCTGTTACACTTGAATGAAAACATTTACCGAAAGAACAATTTCTATTGGTAATTCTGTGTTTATTACAAACTAGTGTAGCACTAGCTATATCTCTCTCTCTATGTATATGGTGCCAATTTCCTTCTCAGAGGCCTTAGCTTTCTCATCTGCAAAATAAGAATGCTGAACTATTATTATCTGGGCCTACCTAAAATTCTGTGATCTTTTCTCATTACTCAACACCTTGATACCATGTAACAAATTTTTTAAATGGAGCCTCTGATGCTTAGGAAGGGACACACCTCTTTGATGTAAAATGCCTGAGGTCAAAGAACAAAAGGGTTTGTGAGATTTCTGGCTGTTTTTGCAACTAGATTATTCAGGGGACCCCGAAGGATCCATCAGGTCTTAGAAGGGAACCTTCGGCTGGGAGACGATGGAGTAAATGAAAGCTCTGTGTGGATGTCAGGAACTCAAAACAGTCGTCCACGGGTAGCTTCCCTAGATCCCCGCACCATGTATGTACTCAGGAAAAGCTCAGAGCACCGACTTCGTCATTCCTAAACTTAGGGCTTCACTCCAGTTCTGCCAACGATTCAGGGAGCTACAAAGCCCAGGGCGAGTTCCTTCCCTTCTCCCAAGCCCCAGCCTCTCAAACGGGCACAAGGACAGCAAGACCTGCAGCCCAGTGTGTGGCACTCAAGTGGCAGGGCCTGGCACCCTTTCCTCACTGTAGTGGTCACTCAGCGTGGACACTGCGTATCTCTGCTCTTCTCCATTTCTGGTTAGTACTGTCAGTGTTTACAGCATGCCTACCATTTCCCTGGTAGATCTTTCTAAATCTAACAAACAACGGTCCGCATTTTTGTCTCCGAAACTCTGCAACTTCCCAGATGTACCGCGGCAGCATTTTCATCTCAAATGCGCCACGCACCAATTCAAATGAAAAGCAACGAGCCTGTGAAATGGGAGCGTTCTGTGCTGTGCAAGACTCCGAACCAGAAACGTCTAAACAGATGAAAAGCGCGACCCGAGATCCGTCCCAGGCACACGTGAGCACGCACACACCCCACACCCCGGCCCCATCACGTCTGCCGATTCTCAGCAGACCTGACTTCAACCTGGGACGTGTTGTTAAGACACGAAGCTGTGTCTCCAGAGGCTTATAATTGAAAAGGGCACAGAGTGCTCGTTACCGTGGCCCGTGGTGCCAGGTTGTGAGGAGGCGTCCCCGGAGACGCACTGTAATTACAGCCCCCCCGCGGCGCGCTCACCTGCTTGGCTATTTCGGTGAGGGCAGCAGCTTCTGCTTTGCCCAGTTGCTGCACCATCTTGTAAAATAGGCTCTCTTTATTCTGCAGCAAAACATAGGGCTCATCATATTCTTTCAGTCTTCCCGAATCCAAAACCTGTTCATCAGCAGAAAGAACCCATCAGCACACAATGTTTCGCAGTAACGTATCATAACTCAGACAATATTTTGGGAAGCAGCAGCAGAGAGAGAATAGAGAGGGTCTATTTGGGTGGTAGACCTGGCGGGGGTTTAAATGGTTTGATTACCCTGGTTTACTAGGCAGACAAAGGCCTAACCCGGTCCTTTATTATTATAATGTTAGAGGAAAGGGAGAAACTGAGAGTTTTAGACTATGATTACGGGCACTCAGCAGACCCGTGGCATTTTTATTCTCTGCCAGTGGCATTTTGGGTTCTTTCCATTGGTTAGCGTGTTCAGCTCTCAGACTCTGAGCTTTGAGGGCTATTTCTTCATACACTCAGAGTTGGGAAGTTTCTCGATTCAAGAAAATCAAACTCAAAATTTATCTGAAAAGTCAGATGATGTCCTACAAACCAGATGGCAGTGACCTGAGAGCGAACTAACTGCCAAGCCGGCCTGACAGAACCTGAACAGTATGTGGAGAGGAAGCAAGCCCCCTCCGGAGTCCCTTGTCACCAAGATGAAGGTGTATCTTCCAGGTCGCTCTGGCTGCAGTTGGTTATTCTGAGAGTGAAAGGCCGGCCAGAGAGCTGCTACCCAAGCGGCTCTGCACAGGAGAACTCTCTAGAAATCCAACTTTCTCTCTGGATAAGACTAAAGAGGCAATGGAGAAACTGAGTTCCAAATTCCAGGGACCATGGCCCACGTAGCACACGGGGGCAGCCCCGCCTGAACGTCCCGCCAAGGACCTGTTTCCACGGCCCCCTCTCCCTGCTTCTCTGCCCCCCTCTGGGCAGCTGCCGCCTTCCAGCCGTTCTGCCGCTCGTCACTGTGCCCACCGGAAATTGAAAGGGAGAGAAGGGGGTCTCCTGGCTGCATCTCCACTTATTTGGGCCTTGGTTAAGGGCTTCAGGAAGGGGAAGAAGGGGTTTGAGACAAGTGGCTCCAATGAGCTACCTAGAAAAGCGCTTCTGATGTGAATGAAGTGGCACTTAGTTCTTATGTAGGCCGCAGGTAGGGTGGATTGATCTTAACAGGATACGCTGAATATCTAAGCAGAATACACTGTTTTTCCACATTGAGGAATTAGTTAATTCTGTCCCGTGGTATTTTTTCTTTAAAAATTATTTATTTATTTATTTGCTTATGTATGTATGTATTTTTAGAGAGAGGGGAAGGGAGGGAGAGAGGGAAAGGAACATCAACTGACTGTCTCTGGTAGGTGCCCTGTGGCCTGACCTGGGACCAAGCCCGTAGCCTAGGCACGTGCCCTGACCAGGAATCGAACCTGAGACCTTTGTTTTGTGGGATGATGCTCAACCAACTGAGCCATACCAGTCGGGGCTGTCCTGTGGTATTTCATGGGAAACATTTATTAAGTCTTTTATAAAGGGCATTTTCCTGTTGCTCTTTTGTTTACTACTGGGAATCACTGCTAAGGGCAGCTTTGTCAAAAGAGTTCAGGAATAATTGAATCTGTCACATCCACATGATAATTAAGATGTCCTATAATTTGGCCTGACAGTTTAGATGCCCTGAATGTGTAATTTACTTAAGCACAGCATTATAGAGAATAACCACTCCTCCTGATGTGGAAGGAAAAAAACGCAGTTTTAAAATACACATCTCTCTCATGCTCAAGGCTGAGTAAATAGGTGAATCAAATTACTTCATATAATGAAAAACTTTACATTCTGCAAAAGCAACAAGTGAGCTTAAAAAAAAAAACATCAGCACTTCACACACACACACGCCGTTGGTGGAAAATCAGTTCTCTGGCTGTAAAGACTTCACATAATGTCTAACAGAGGTATGACTGATATTTCCCCCTTGTGCGACTTCCTATGTAATCAAATTTGAGTGAATAGTGAATCTTTCCATTTTCTTGCATATTGTCTGAAAACACAGGGATGCTTCTGAGACAGGCCTCCTAAGAACCAGCCAGGATGCAAAACAGCAGAACCAGAGGAAGACAAACACACTCACAAAGCAGTAAGAGGAACCATATAAATGACAGGAAGATCATTTTGGTCAAAATCTTTGGAGCCTTATACGTGTCAGCAATTTAATGGCCGTGTATTATATTTCATGAGGGGAGCTGTCAATCTTGCAGCAGGACACAGAATGGTGGAGATTGGTTATAAGCTTGGTGATTAAATTTTAACTTACCTAAGAAATGCTTTAAAAAATGTAAAGCAAGTAGGCCTCTCCAATGCCCTGTGGATGTGCGTTAAAACAAAATGCTGCTGTACCTGGAGCGGAGGAGTTCACCAGACCTGGGGGATGAGAAGCCCTGGCATGTACACGCAGCGTAACGCAGCGAATGTGAAAAGGAAAATAACAACAGATACGGGTTTAGCACGCACTGCGTCACCTGCTTTACGGTCACCACTGTTAATTCTCAGAATACAGTGGACGAACAACACAAAATGTCCTTTCTCCATCCCTCCCTTCCTTTCCTTCTTCCCTCCTTCCCCCTTCCCTCTCTCCCCACTCCCTTCCACCCTTCCGGTAAGTATTAAGCGAGTCCGTAATGCCAGGGCACTGTTTTAGGAATGGAAGACTCAAAGATGAGCAGGAAAAAAGCTCACAGCCCGAGATGAAGGCCCGGGTGCCACTGAGTTAAATCACCGGCCAAGGCTGCAGAATCAGCAGATGGTGGAACTGGGATTTGAACAAGTCTGAATCTGTTTTCTTTCCTTTCCATGTGAGTACCCAGAGAAAGACACTGTTTATTATCAAAAGTAAAATATGTATTTATTTTTAGTATCAGAAGCACAATAAGGGAGATGAGAATTTTAACATTCAATTTTCTCAGATACCTTTCCATGTGGATACTATCTTATGTTAACTTTGCATAATTTAAGAAAATATGCCTATGAACATGAGCACTTCCCCTATCTGCTTTCCACTGAAATTTTATTATATTTCAGGGCTCAGATGATTTACTGTGTGCCTGGTATAGACTCACAGAAAAAGAAAACTAATTTTATTAAACTATCAGGGTTCATCGAGAGCAAATAACACATGGCCAAACACATTTAAGGAAAATTTAAGTAAACTCTCATTAATTCCTGAATTTATTTGGCAAACATTTACTGCATACTTAGCTGTATGCGTGTCATTAAGCTAGCTTGCTGTGGAAGGGGCAGGGAGGGGTAAGTCACAGCCCCTGCCTTTGGGGAGAGAGAAAAAAAATCCTCAAGTGTCTATAATGCAAGAAAAAAAAAAGCACAACAAGAAGAGGGCAAGCCGCAGAAGAAACGACTTCTGGCCAGAGGTTCTGAGGATGAGCATCAGGAAGGAGAGCAGTAAGCTTGGCCGTGAAGAACAGGGAGACGTGAAGACAGGGAAAGCCAGGTGGGTGGATGGTGGCCGTTCCAGACACAGGGAACCACGTGGGCCAAGAGGGCTGGAGGTGACCAGTCAACTCGGTAAGGGCAGGGTTTTATGGTTTCCCTTGTGCCCGGTGGCATCGCTGGGCCCTGGCTGGCATTGTACGTGACGAGTAACAGGCAGCCAATGTGTGCTGGCTGCGAGTTACACACAAAGCAAGCTAAATTCGGGGCATGACAGGGAGACTGCCCAGTGGTGTAGCTTGGCAAGGACACAGGGCAAGGGCAAGGACGGAAGTAGTGTGGTTGTCTACAGCAGCACAATACGGGGATTACAGGGGGAGGGACGCAGACTCAGAGGACCACACGCCTCAGGTTGATGGCAGTGGGCAAGGAAAAGGGAGGGAGAGGCAGATGAGGGTGGAGGATGGAGACGGAGCCTCCTTCATACCAAGTCATCGGGAGAGAGAAAGGAGCGAAGTCGGCGCTGTGGAGGCCAACTGCAGGAGCTGAGGACGCTGCCCTGGGCGGGGCCGAAACGAGGCCAGCAACCGCCCTCTACCCACTTCGGCTTCGCATCTGCCGCTTTGAGCAAGGATTCTAGACCTTGCAGAACAAGCAAGCATAATGCAACGATCTATTTCCTTTTTGTACAGATAAAGAGGTATGACTGAGTTTTTATTTTTACCTCCTCTCTGCCTATAAGAAAAGGCTCCCGAAATCTGCTGTGTCTCCAGTCTTCCTGTAACCCGAGTGAAACTAGACTAAGCCGCACACTCACGTTGGCGTGGCAGCGATCCCTCGCCCCGGGGTCTCTCCAGGAACGCCAACCCCAGGCTGCTTGCCGCTGTCCAGCAGGTTAAGGAAAAACACATTATGGTGGATGAGTCAGTGAGTTACATAAGCTAAATGAAGATGTGTTTATCAGGCCTGTGTATCTGCAAATATTCCAAGCAGCTGCCCTAGATATAGAAATTAAATGGACCCATTGCAAAACAGTTTAATCCCTTTTAATTGGCAGGATGCCCTCAGCGACGATAGTGGGGCGGCTCTAGGGAGAGGCGGAGGGCAGAGCAGGGTGGAGGAAGCGCTCGATGATGGGAAAGAGGCACCCGGAACAGCCTTCCACACGGGACCCGCGATCGAGGCAGATCCCTCTGGGCACCAGGCAGAGTGGGGTGGGGGGGATCTGGGCTCCCGAGGCCCGCTTCTGGCTGCCAGGGGACAAAGGGCAACTGGGGTGGCTACTTGCAAGCTGAGTCCCTTCGCTGGTAAAAGAGGTGCCTGTGATTTTCCCAGTGGCAAGATAGTCTGGCAAGTTTTACTCGACATACTTTCTTAGGTCTGGACATGGAAGTCACTCTTCTCACCTGAGGAAGATGCAGACGGGGTCACAGTGACCCCCCACGCAGCGGCTCCCCTAATGCCCCTGCCAGCCCCTCTCCCATATAGTAGTTTTTCTCCCAGATTGTGATTCTGTATTCACGTTAGTTAGTTTGCTCTCTCTGAAAACGTGAGTAAAATCTCCTGGCCTATTTTTGAAGGGGCTTTTCTCTTCTGCCACGTTCCTACTGTGGCCATGTCAAGCTTATTAAAGTACCAGGAAGATGAAAATTAGAATGTCAGTAAAACTCTAACTGGCTCTGAGTTGTTTTTGTGCTTTTCCAGGTGGGTATGTCAAGCACTTTCTAGTTTTGATTTCCATGGGGAAAATGACTACAAAAGAGGTTTGCGTCTGGGGAGAGACGTAAAGATTATCAAACCGTAAGATGGCCTACAAAAGCAGGAGAGGTGGAATCTGAGTCTCTCAGCCCCGGTTTTGGTTCTCTGGAACTCGTTCCCAGAGAATCCTCTGACTACCGACAGTGAAAATGTTCACCATTGGCAACACCATTGGAAAAGCAGCTACAGGTTTGCACGGCTTCTTTGGCTCATGCTACGGGGAGAACCCCGGGGGATTATATGGGGTGTATGGGGGTTGGAGAGAAGAGCTGTGCTCTTGGCTGGAAGCAGGTCACACACAACCAGGGAATCCTAAAAACCACAGCAAAGAGGCCGTCCTTCATGCAGAGAGAGCGCTGAGCATGAGAGAGAGGACTTCTAATGTGTCTATCTTGCTCCACCGTTTTGTGGCAACTGAGCAAACGAGGGAGATTCAATTAGCTATCATTACAACTACATCATGTTGAATAAAGTTAAAGTTGAGAGAACATCTTTGTAAAATAGGATTCTAAGCCTAATACACTAATGACACATAATGAACCAAAACTGGGTAAATCCCTTTGGAGAGCCAACACATAAACAAAGCTATTAATTAGGTCACAGTTGTTTCCCAACACAGCTTTTGTTTGATTTACTGACAGTAAACAAAACCCTATCCATCCCTCTTTGTGCCAAAGTATTCACGAGGGCAACAAAGTGTAATTATGACACCTTAAGCACTTGCAATTACACGACTTCATGATGACAACACTGTTGGTTGTGCCCTTCATTAGCATCTGTCACTTCCCCAGCCACTCCCGGGCGGGCTGGCCACCCGCCCTCTGAAGCATTAGGTTTTGTAGCCAATTGACTTGTCTTTACGTCCTTAATAAGCCTTTCAAAATAACAGAAAAGACAGATCACTTGTTTCCTGGAAAGGAAATGGGTATTTCTAAAGAAAACAAGTAAAACAAATTGCTTCAAAAACCAGAGGTTCCAGAAAGAACATTATTCATGGTGTTTGGCCCTCCTGAGAGCCAGTCGGTACTCACAGTTCTAGATTGAAGCGGAGGGTTTACACCTGGGGTGACTGGGGCGCAAGGAACAACCCCTCAACTCTGAAGCTAGGGAAAGGATGTCTTGAGTCCCCCGAGGTCTAATCCAGCCATCCTCTATAAAGGAGTCAGCCACAGAAGCCAGCTCTGAGCAAAGTGCAAATCAGTGGCCACACTGACATCTCCTGGTGGGACCCGCCCTCCCCCCCCCCCCATACACACAACCTGTAACATCACTGAAGGCCTCGTGCCCAGGGATGGCCTGGTACTTTTCTTTCATTTACTTCTTCACTACTAACCAGAGCATCCCTGGGCACTGGTATCTAGTGACAACACATAGATGAAAATCTGTGTGCTGCCACAGGCTGGGGTTAGCCTGAAAATAGCTTACATTCTCTGGGCTTGTTTGCAGCCAAAGGCTTTTCCTTTGGGGGATGATTTCCTGCTCATTTTATAAAGCCACATTCTGAGATCTACTGAAAATGAGCAAGAAACAGGGGAACAAAGAAAGAGAAAGGAGGAAAATGAAGGGAGAGAGGGAGAGAGAAAAGGAAGGGAGGAACGAAGGAAAGACGAGTAAGGAAAGGAAAGCCTGAATTACTAAGGAGGAAAGAGCCAGTCACACCGGGAAGAAGACAGTAAACACACCCGGACACGAAGCCCGGAGCCTGCCACAGGGCAGTGCTGGTATCTACCATGGAAAGGCCTGGCTGGCTGTTGGTCTGCACTCGCTCAGCCCTGGATCTGCCCGCGTCTGTGATAGTGGGGCTGGGTCTCTGCAAACCACACTTCAGCTGGCCCTCTGCTAGGTTCTGCCAGTAGGGGTTTGAGAAGGGGACCAAAGGCGGGGCAGAGAATACATGGTCGGCCTATTTTCTGCCACTCGGGCCAGCATCCCCACAGCTGCGGGACCTGGCCCCAGCCTCCACCTTCCATCCGTTTACTGAGAACCAGCCTCCAGGGCTCCTTGCCCCACACCTGTGACCAGCAGCCATGACCCCGGCCCTTTAGGGGGCTCTCCTCTCAGCTCCTCGGTCTGGAGGTCCATCCTGGGGCACAGCAGCTGCTTTCTAGAATTATCACCCTGGTATGTGCTCCCCCTCTTCCAGCCCTCCAACACTACAGCTCAAATTTCCTATATGAAGTCCTTTCTGTTGGAATACGTTGCTTCTCTGACCAGGCCCTTTCTTCCCAAAGACTCCCCTTTGAGGACACAGCCTGTGAACATCCCAACAGCTGAGCGATCCTGCAGCCGTACGCAATGACCCTCTGGCAGCCCCGATGGAAAGTTAAATTTTTGGTTATGGGAATCCAAAATGCAGAAGCAACGGTGACACAGCCTGAATGACCATGCTTTGTCACCATGTCATATGAAGCTGTATCTTGGATTTGGAATATTTTCACGGTTGGCCACCTTAAACCAAAATGACAATATGAATAAGCTTTCAGTATGAAAATGTGGAATCCGTGGGTATATTATTTAATAGCATATTCTGAATGTGTAGTTAAGTATGTGAGTTATTGTCAACAATGGGAGGAAAAAAATAACAGAAAATGAACTTACTGTAGATTTCTATGCAGTTTAACAAGAGGAGATAAGTTGAGAAAATGAACGTAAACAGACACAACCAGGATTGAGGTCTCACCATGATCTTGTCACTGTCGATAATGGTGTTCAACCTGTGCGCGATGGTCAGCACGGTGCAGTGAGCAAATTTCTCACGGATTGTTTTTTGTATTAACTCATCAGTTCTGGAATCAAAGAAGTTGAATTTAGTTCAGCAAAGACAGACTTAAGCCTTAAAGAGATCATATGATATTTTTATAATGGTTTTAAAAACCAGTGCCTGAAGTAAGAGCTTGTTCTTTAAAATCTAAGCAGAAAGTCTATTTAGAAATTTACTATGTTCCACTAAAAAAATGAAAGATGTTCATTCCTTCAAAGGGCTTAAAACTAGGAGGAGCTGAATTTAGGAGTCTAGCATTCTCAGGGTGCTTAATAATGGCATCAACACCGAAGGACACGTTTCGATTCCCTCCTCTGCTCACCAGGATTCACGTTATCAAGGGGGATTCCCCGGGGCAAAGAGAGAGCTTCGAAAAACGCCTGGCCATTATGAAACGTGTCTCATTTTACCACATTGGAAATGTGGATTCCGCATTACAGGGAACTCAGCTCCGTACCTCAGGTCCACGTTTGCAGTCGCTTCGTCAATGATCAATATCCGATTCTTCCTGAGAATGGCTCTGGCCAGGCACACCAGCTGCCTCTGTCCCACACTGAAGTTCGATCCCGATTCCGCTAGTTCTGTATCCATTTTGCGGGGAAGCTCTTGGATGGTTTCTTTAAGCTGCACCTGCAGATACAGAGTGAAGACGGTTATTTTCCTACGCCAACTACTAGTGAAGTAGACATCAGCGCTTTGAAATCCTTGGAACTTCCTCTGCACCTTGCGCCTGTGGCCGGGTGACAGGGACAATCACTTCCAATTAGTGCTCATGGAGAAAGGTGGTTGCATCGACTCAGGACCGAAATATTGACTCAAGAGCACAAACTGAATGGGAGTCAAGATGCTTCTTGGCCGCCATGATTAGGCACCATCTGTTCACGTCCTGTCACTTTCATTAAGAGGAACACAGTAGGCTAAATAAAACTCTTCCTAAGGGAAAGGACAGAACGTTTTTAAATGTCCCTTTTTCAGTTTTTGCCAACATTTAACTTCAGGCATTTATAGAGAAAAAAAACATAGACCAGCACTTGCCTGAGGAGGGCTAACTGTACATGGACACAGGGAACTTTGGGGGTGAGAAGAATGCTCTGAAACAGGATGGCTGTGATGGGTACAGAACTATACATTTACCAGGATCCCGAGTCACGCGTACAAGGCAGGAATGTTCTGGTACGGGAACCATTCCTCCATCGATAAAGATGGCACGATCCCCTCCGCGCCTCCACCCCCTGACCCGACACCCACTGGGAACCCTTCCTGGGCTTTCATCAAGGAAGTCTCTCAAGAAATGAAGGCGTTTCTCTCAATGTGGTCTGAGCAGAGATCTTGTGATTGAGTCAAGTTTCCCAAAATACATTTTGCATATAGGAGTTAGTAAGTACACGGAAGGGAAAATAATTATTTTAAATCATGGCTCTCTAAAGATACAATCTTACCAGTGCCTGGCTCTTTGGGAGGATTTCAAAGTTTAAAGAATACAAATTCACACTTTGGCAAACTGCATTTCACATACTAGTAAAGATGGAGTCTGTTTGGTGAATTTACCCAAATTTAGTCTCGTCTATTTAGACCAGTCACGTGCACTCACTTCAACTTCATAAGTGTTTGGCAGTGAATGAAATACAGGGCACAGCATAACATCTTATTTCCCCCAGACTATGGGGATAGATGGCATTCATATTAAACCAGCTCCAAAAAATTGTAATTATAAATTAAAGGAAAAAAACCTCTTAATCACTGACGAGAACGTGAAACTATTCCAGGCAGTACAGCTCAGTTCAATGAATATTTGTTCGGGGGAAATTTTACGGAGCAAGCACCAAACTCAGGCTATTCTTCAGAGTTAATGAAGAAAAGCAAACGGTCTTCAAATTAAGAGATTAGCGGGCTGCTGAGCAAAAGCCAATAGGCAGGGGCACCGAATGATGATGTCACACAACCAACAGCAAGGGTGAGTGGGCAACATTTTCACAGCATCCCGAACGCCGAAGCCCTTCTGGGGACCGTGATCTGGCACTGCGTTCAGGATGGAAGTCCAGTCTCAGCAAATGGAAACCCTGAGTTAGGATTGAATGTGGTGTTGGCATTGGGCATCAGCATGAAGGGTGCACAAAAATCTAAACTGTTACATGTGAATTGTGGTGCAATGACTTCTACCGAGAACTGTAAAACGAAGACGTCAGCTCCGTCGACCCCCCTCCATTACAAGGAAGAGTACTTACCGAGTATTCCCTTTATGACACATACTCATAGACCCGCACCCCAGGTGAAAGAACTGATCAAAAGCACGACAGTGGCAAGGCCTTTGCGAGCTCCTCCTGCTGGGCTGACTCTGGGAGCATTTACGTATGCAAACTGGTCTTTCGTAAGGCACCCCAGGGTCATGAAGAAATAATCCCGCCCTTGCCTGACGCCGATCGCATCTCATCACTAGCCGGGTTCTGGACCATCTCTCAGGCCCTCCGTATCTGCCTGATTCGGAGGGAGGCCTCTTAAGGGAGGAAGAATAGCCACGTGACCCAGAAAGCACTTTTCTGAGACTCTGCTTTCATTTAACACCAGTGTGAGGATCTCTTGTTAGTGTTGTCCCACGTTCGGGTTATCCTTACGTCTCAGGAACCAGCAGAAGAGAACTGAGTGACACTGAGTGAACTGAGTAACTGGGAGTTGTAACTGGAGGATCTGAGACCATTAGATAATAGTGTAATATTACTAAGAAAGTAATATTTACTAAGAGATGACTGTATATGTAAGAGAATGTCCTTGTTCTGATGAGGCATATATTTAGGGGTGAGCATAGAAAAGGGTGAATTGCGGCATTTAATAAAAACTTCCACAACTTACTTTCAAATGGTTCTGCAAAATATAGATACAGAAGGAAAAAAGCAAACGTAGCAAAATGTTAACAACGAGTGAAATGAGGTGAAGGGCCTAGGTGAGTTCATTAGCCCACTCCTTCGACTTGCCCATGATCTGGAAATTTTAAAACGAGACCCTGGGACCTTGAAGGCCAGACAGCCTGGGGGCAAGCCTCGCCTGGCTCTGCCAACTGGGCACGTTCCTGAGCTTTGTCTACTTTAGCTCCCTAACCTATAAATAATACTGTAATATTATAATAACAAAGGTGGCTACCTTCCTAACAATGTTAGACTATAAAATTAGCACGTGTTGAGTTTACAACAGTGCTTGATGCAGAGCAAGAGATCAACAGATACTGCCTATTGTCAGTAATGCGGTGTGCTCCCTCTCTGTAGCCTGCTACATTCTCCTCCTTTGCCTGTATCAGCACTGAGACTATCTGCATATGTATGTCTGCATGCTGGGGCCTTTCGCCAATAAGCGGCTTCGTCTTTAGCCACTACTTACGCTGTATGTATAGAGCTGCCATTTCATTTTAGGTGCCCCAATCAGCACTAATTTCTAAGGGACTTTCTTCAGTTTACAGATGGCAATTTTCAGTACCAAATGGAGAATGTATTTTCTGCATAGTTATTAAAATAACCAAGTGAGATGGGCAAGATCGGTCGAACTCTCGCCCTTCTGAATGTCCACCTCCACCAAGGGAGAAGGAGGAGGCAGAACACAGAGGACTTAAAAAGAAAAAAAGCATCTTTTCCTTTTATTTAAACTTTGTAAAGAGGAAAAGGGTAGCGCCCTCTTACTGACTCGCAGACAACCTCATGAGTGCAGGTTCTGGCCTCCAGTTGGGCATCACTGACAATCCAGCTGACGAGGTTTTCCGTTCCCCTAAAACCTGACTTCACTGCTTTCTATGTTTTCTGGTGAGAGATTTGGTGCATTTTCTAACAGTCAGGACACCAACGCTCCCACAGACAAACACGCACCAGAGAAACACCGAGCTGGAGTGACCTCTCACACTCCCAGGTCTCACTGCCACCGCACCGTCAATTCTAGAGGACACGGCAACCGCTGGCTTCAAATTGTGAACCGAACTCGCATTTACTTCTATTCACAGAAAACTCCAAACGTAGCTTCCACAAAGGCAGGCCTGAGGACTACCCACAACTTCCACCAGCTCATCATTTTTGGAGTTCTGAGAGGCTACTACGTTTTGTTTTAAATTTGGCTCCTACAGAGGAAGTAAGTTACAGCCAAGCTCTCAGAGAGTTTTTGACAGGATCCGTCTGCCAATGAGCATTTCCTCACTGTCTATCGAACAATGTGTTTCTAGAATGATTTCACTATCTGAGATTCTGAGCTCTGAGATAAAGAGAAAAATAATGTACCAGTCATCCCTGGTTTTTTTTAAAGGTATATCACAATGTCACCATGAAATGGGCCCCGAGAGGGCGAGAGCGGTGATCGCCCTACCTGTCTTCCTGTGTGACGGGTGACTGCTTTCCCTGCCTCTTTTCTTCTACAGTTTCACTGTAGGAACGAACACTCACCACCTTCCGCAGAGCCACAGGTGCCCTGCGGTTCCCGCAGGAGAAAGCAAAGGGGTCAGGTCAGCCCGACTTAGGAAAGGAAGATCCCGACCGGTGCCAGAGAGCAGGGTGGGTGCGGGAAGACTGAGTGCCGACTTGCCTTCAGAAACCAGAATTACTGGCAGGAAATTGTCGGGCGTCCAGATAGACTTGCTCACAGTCAAACCTCATCTTTAAAGTAAAGGTTTCAGAGCCATCCCCGGGAGGCGGGCACCAGAGGGCAAACACGCAGGTTCAAAACCACCACCATGCGAGCAACTGACGGCTGGGCCTTGGGTGTCTTTGTTGTGTTTTGCTTTTTTAAAGAAATGAGCCCCACTTCTCTGAAGCGAAGAGAATGTTAACGAACACTCAGTAGGTGTTTATCAAGTGTTCACCTTTTAAAAGCAAAGACTGACTGGGTGCCCTGAGGGAGGAGGGGTCTGTCTGTGGGTCGGAAGCCTGGATGTGGCTTCTGCCGCCCAGAACTTGGAATCCACTGCTGGGAGAACTGGGGCGAATACGCAGAGTAATTAGTATTAAAGGATACAACACAACAGCCCAGTGGAAACAGGACTAAACGATTTTTCAATGTTTTAATGATCTTGCTTTGGGTTCTATTAAATGCCACTCAGCATCATCCACTTCCCATAAAACTTCCAAAGAAGTTCTCACTTATACCTGATATGTAACCAGCAGAATTACAAAAAACAACAAAAAAAGTGAAGTGCATTTAAACGTGTCAAATGTTTAATCGGCTATCATCAAGAAAAATTTAATAAGCTGAATAAAGATGCTGATGAAAGTTGTATATAAGTATTTGAAATGACCTAATGTGGCTTTGAAAATATATCGCAATGTAAGTAAAAATCCTCTGAGCAAAAAACCAAACAAACAAACAAAAACAACAACAAAAAACTACATACCAACACCACCATAACAGTCAAAATCATTGTCTGCAGGGAAAGGAAATTCAGAGAAGTGGTCCAAAGGACAACTGTCCTAATAAAAGCAGACACTCTGGACACGAATATCACTGGTATGAAAACAGCGAAAGCTCCAGGTTCTGTTATCCGCACTTGCTCTGCAGCATGAAAACATGTTTGCTAACAAATAATTATTGCCACATGCTAACTGAATAATTTCCCTTTGTACACACTTTCTGATAAAACTCCCAGGTATTTTGTTGGCATGGCCTCGTTTATCTCTTAGTCAATAATGAAAAACTAGAATGGCAGCCACCAGGTCACTGGTAGAAGCTGAACCCATAACTGTGACTTCTAGTTTAGCGCTCTGCAGTGGGCGAGATAACGTTTCTAGTTGTTTTGGGTTCCAGGAAAATAGTTAAAATGAAAACATGAGCTGCTGTAGCTCTGGTTTTCTTCATCATCGCTACACACGTTATATGTGCATCCGTGTTGCCGATGTTCTCCTCGGTGGTGAACAAAGTCAATTAAACCAACCCCCCCCCCCCGTTACCTGCAAATGCTGGTGATTTCATGTATACTGGCACTAACGAGTTAATCACATTTTACAAATTACCTCTTTTAAGGCATTCCACAGCTCCTCATCCGTGTGCTCATTAAAAGGATCCAGATTTTTCCTCATTGTTCCAGTGAATAAAACAGGCTCCTAAACACAGCAAAAACAGGGAACTTAATTACTGCAGGCTCTCTCCCATCGACGCCAATGCTAACTTTCAGAACCAAATGAAAATTCAGAAGACCAAGAGTCACTATAATCACAAGTTACAAGGTTGCGAATGCTTATTTACAGAACACTCTCTCTATTACCGATCATTTCCCACTGTAGAGAGCACAGCCCCAAAATATCATCTGGACCACTGAGCACCAACAAAAGAAACCGCTGAAGTGTGTCCTCTTAAGAAGAAAAGGAAAAATGGAAGTCTGATTTTCAATAATGCCTTTCTGGTAGTGATATTTGTTCAAACAGGGGAAAAAAACAAAGGTATAATTATTTGAGGACGTTCATAGCAAGAGAACTATAAAAATTAATCATCAGTCCTGGTGTGATACTGAAAAAATACCAAGAGCATGACTAATCGAAATTTGTGCCTCAAAGCGAAACTGTTAAAAGTGTGCATCTTTGCCCTGAAGAATAAACTAGGGCATTTTCTCCATTGGTTCCATCATCTTCTGGAATTGGGAATCTCTTCACATATTCGAATAGGACAACCTGTTTTTCATCCAAAGAGCACATCAATTAATGGGGCCACTGGCAGCTCTATTCGCGAGGGGATTGCCTCTGAGTTGCACCCGCTAATCCCCGTGTCACCTTGTCTGGGCATCAGGGTTACGAGACTCTCAGAACCTCGTTACTGACTGCAAGAGCTGGAAAACCCGAAACCCAGTGTGCCGCACGTCCCACGGAAATTGTTTTCGTTTCCAATGCTCTCCCCATTCATCTGCTTTGGGAGAAACCTCGGCTCAATTACTCCTGAAATACAGGCCTCCTTCTGGATTTCCGGAGAGAATCCTGCCCTGGAGCTCAGGAAGGCTGCTTACGTTCCTTCCAGGAGGCTGTAGTGACGCAAACTGTGAGAACACGGGCAGGAAACAGAGCCCGGCTGGCTGCCTTCCCTGAAGGTGGTAGAAGGGCGAGATGCCGAGCTATGCGAACAAGAGGAGACGGCTCTTTCCCACCAGTGCCGGACCCAGGGGGACGGCTGGCCGCAGACCCTGGCCTGGCCTCGGCGCTGGACTGGTCCTGTCACATCTCAAAAGCCTGAAGAACTGAGAAGGTAGACTCTTCTCTAGCTGTGAAGAAGAAATGCCACTCAGAGAGCCCCGACACCCTCTCCTTTCCCTGTGGTCTCTGCTCCAAGACCGAGGAGGGGAAAACAAAGGCAGAAGACCGATGGAGCGCCAGCAAAAAGCATGTATCCCTAAGCAAAATCCCAAAGTAAAAGAGACCTTACAGAGGGCATCTGATTTGCACAAAATTGATAAAGTGGTCAATATGCCCCCAAAGCCCCAAAGGAGAAAATAGTTCAGTAAATAAGAATATTTCTCCTTACTAAGACATGCCACATATATATATATATTTCCAAATGAGTGAAGTTTCAATCCAAATTTGTTACATAAGAAGAATGGTCTATCACAACACTGATTAAAGCTCTACTTTTCTTTAACACCAACAGGCAATTTGTTAACAAAGTCTGCTTACGACGCGTTTTACACACAGTGTTCGTTCTGGTTCCTACCAATTCTACTTCCACCCGCTTGCCAAATAAGAAATTATTATATTATCTTCCAAAGGAAATAAAAACACTCACAGTAGACACCACTGCAAGCACAGATAAGGGTCAAATTAATGATCATTTCTGATAGACAGATATTATTTAAAGTTCCCACCTCCAAGCAATGAAGTTAATAAACGAACCTTATAAATAAATGTTGTAAAAATGTTTGCAGGATGTATAGTTTAGTGTAGACATTTATGGGAGGACCCACAACCTTCATGAAAAGATACACTAAATTTATTAGCCAAAGTACTGTATTTTTTTTTCTGAAGGTACACAATTAAACTTCATTTAACAGGAATTAGCTGGCACAGTACAGTTAGAGAAACAAATACTCCTGTTCAGTGAAATATTTTAAATGGACCACTTGTATCGAGCCTGTTTTTCATCTTGGTTTAAAGTGCAGTTCTTTTTCTTTTTATCCTTTGTACCATAATAAGTAGTAATTTTTTCCTTTGTTACCAACACAAGTTCCTATTAGGTGTGTGACCCCAAAATGGCCACTCTGAATCAAAGCATTTAGTGTAGTAAACTGATAATCCCTCAACCCAACTGCATGACTGAAAACGACAGTCTTACTCGACCTTTTGTACGTTCGACTGGAAGACAAGTCTTTCATTATCCCAAGAAGAAACCCTACCCACTCACCTTCAGATACTTAAAACCACCCGGGACCGAGACAAAAACACGGACAAGTGGTTACAAACGAGGCAGATAACGCTCAGCACTTTACCCCCATCCTCTCGGTCCCTAACCAGGGAACTGCCCTCTATTGAAGTACGGCCTCCAGAGTGGCCCCGGCCCTGTTTCTCCCGGTCCTTGGGGTACCTTTCCATTTCTAGTCCAAGGACCTTCATTAAGCGCAGCTCATCTCCCAGTTTCGAGAACGGAATCTTGGGTTCCTTTTTTTTTTTTTCTTAAATCCTGTAGCCTCTGAATGAACCGATCATCACCCATATTCAGAAGAAAAGAACATTGTTCGCCAACAAAGGAAAAAGAATTTAAGTCGTGTAAAGTCCTCTTTCGGTACAGAAAGGTCAGGGGCTGCGGGAGCAGCTCCACGGGGTTTAATGAAGACTTCAGTGTCAGGAACAAAGGGCCCACTGCATTAGGCTGGAATCCAGTTGTATTTCTTTACTGGTAACAGCATACCCACCTCTTCCCTCTTTGAGTTTTGTTCCCGACAAGGAAAAAAAAAAAAAAAAGAGGGAGAGAAGACCGGGTATTAAAGAAGAAGTCTTAAAGGGACAGCTCTGGCTAACCTTTTTCAGTTGGCTGAAGACAGCCCAGGCAAGGGAGAGACCACAAGAGCACGGTGGGCTGTTCAAAACACCTCGCTTCTGCTTTGATTTCAAAAGTTTAATGAATATTTTAAAAGAAATCAATCTGTTTAATCACATAAAGATGTTAGCAGCTGATCTGTGCCAACCCTTGGGGTACAGTAAAAAATACTGCATTTCCATGGAATCCCTCTGCAGTTGAAAATGTTTTCTTCATGCCCATAGGATAGGGGCTCGGGGTATGGAGAACCCACCCAAAGAAGTTTTGAAATATGTGTTCCAGATCTTTCAGATAAGCAAGCTACTCCCTGAATATAAGCTCTCCTTGGAGTTCTCTTTAGGAAGCGCTATTTTAACTATTTCGGGTCATTTACATTTCAGCCACCTGTTCTGTTTTAAAAAACCATCTAGGGACCGTGTTTGTTTTCAAAAGTCCCATCCAGGACTTGCCCCACTGCCTGCATAGCACTGCTCCTTTGCCTACAGGGGTCTCTGCTGCTGTCCCACCTCTCCCCGATCTGACTTGTTCACGGTAGAGTCAGGAGTGACAGGGATGAGCCTGGAAGAGAGACACCACCACAAAGGCTCGCCACCGGGCCCGGGACCGCAGACCACAGCCGGCCCTCGGACCGGGGACGACTACGTGGGCCCAGCTCACCAAATCTGCAGGCAAGAAAACACACCGCATTCCACCTTTGCGCAGTCTGCTTGGAACTTCTTAGGGGTCTTGAGACACAAGCATCACTGCTTCCTATTCATCCTGCAGCCAGTCAGCCACTGCCAAGGGAGAGGGCTCCTAGCTCTGGCAAGGCAAGATTTTGAGTGTCTTCTCCTGACACTTCCTAGCTAGCCCATGGCGCAGTGGTGGGTAAGCCCATTTCCAAACTGACTTTGTTTCAGTGGTGAGTGCAACTTGAGTTTTACGGGCAAAGTAAATGATTCAGTTTTTCAAAACCACCAAACTGTCCAAATGAGGGACATAGCACCAGGAGAAACAGCTTTCAATACTGTTCTATATCCATTTCGGTTTTGGTTTAGGGGAATTCTTGGTGAGTAGGGTGGTAGGAAAAATGGGTAAAATGTCTGGTGAGAGCATCGTTCAGTTCAACAAGCGTCAGGTAAAATGTAGAGACAGGGTGACTGGGAGCTGCACAGTCCCGAGTTCGGGCTCTGCTGCTTATTAGGTGTCCGAGTCGGGGTAAGTGATTCGTCTCCCCAAGCCTCAGCCTCTTACTGAAAACGGGGCTACCCTGGCAGGGTAGCTGTGAGAATCCAGAACATAAGTGAAACTGGAGCCCAACCAAATGGAGGGACAGCGAGGGACGGTCTTTATCAAACTGCGTGTGCAGCCAACTGATCATGAAATCAATTTTGTGCCTCGTGATCATCACTCTGTCTCTTATATAAACGAGCTTGAATGAAAACAACAGAAAAGGGAGTACAGAGCACACGGTAGTATCATCTCGGGAAACTTCAGTTTCCGTGTGCGGGTGTGCACGCGCACAGAATGATGCCGTGCAGTCCCACTGTGGACCGCAGGCAGCAGGGGCCCTAAGTCCCCGGCAGAGTGGCAGGTGCAGGAGCTGGGAATCTCCCGGCGTGAAATTTGAATCCTGGCTCCACGGCTGAGCTGGAAAGGGGGCTAAGGCCCCTGTGCCTCAGTTTTCCAGTCTCGGAGATTAGGAAGGAGGCTAAAACGTGTTCAAGGTTCCACAGGTGTTGGGAATTATCGTTCATACCTGTGTGACTTGCCAGGGACTGCACAGAGACTCACAGCAAAGAAACTGAGAGACCCAGCCCGTCCTGAGGGAGAGGCAGGGAACAGCTGGGGGTATAGGGAGAGCGAAGGGAAAATGTCAGGGGTCCCATGGGGGACTGCGGAGGACGGGCAGGGGCTTCGGAGCAGTGGTCAGGAAAGGGTGGGAGGGCTGCCAGAAAACAAGGCAAAAACAAGTGGCAGATCTGTTATTCCCTGTGGGGCAGATGTTGGAGATTTCTCCTTATCCTAGAATGCCTTTTCCTCCCTCTCTCCCTTCTCTCTCCCTCGTTTATTTATTGTTTATTTAGGCTTCACTCTTTAAATTTATATAAACAACTTGATTTATGCTAGAGATAATCAATGAAAAAATCACCCAGGACCACAAAAACATAAGTAGAAATTAAAGAGCAAAGTCCATCCGGAATGTTTTACTGTTTTTACTTACAGAGCCACGAAAGGCCAGTGCCCCCAGACCTTAGTAACCACAGGTACTCTTTCCTGAGCATCCATCCCTAAGAGTCGCATGCAAGGCCCCTATCATTTTCTCATCCAGTTCACTCTTCACGACAACTCCGTCGGCGGTAATTACCAGGGCTGGTGAACCTCGGAGGCCATGTGGCTTTATTGAGGCCACGCGCTCCTAAAAAAGCAGAGACGGACAGTGTCGACACTCAGTCTCTGCTCTAGAAGTTTCTACCCCTGGCTGTCTCCTGGGTGATATTCTGGGACCCTGTACACACTGCAGTCTCTCCTGACTCTCTCTCTCTCTTTAATCAACAAACACCAAGCCCTGGAGGCAAAGGCATATAAAGTGAAAAGGAAAAAAAAAGGTTCTGTGTTTACAATGGCTGGCGATCGTTATCTGCATGGATACAAAGCTCCACAGTGTTTCGAAAGCCCAGGCTCTGGAGAACGTGGAGAGAGGACGCTCAAAAGTAGGGTGGGAACCGATGGAACGGAACCAAACCTGGGTGATATTTAGTTGTTGCTCAGATGTGCTTCCAAAACATCACTGGAAGAGCCAAGAGTCATCGAACATTATTTCTTTATTTACATAGTTCTTTTATGTGTACAAGCCTAACACCATTTCTTATGAAGAAGCATTAAAAGGAACACAGGACACGTTGCTAAATCCTTTCATCCAAGGGTATGAAAGCACTTTCTGGACACGCCCATTGTTCTGCTAAGTCAAGCTCTTTGGCCCACTTCAGGGACAGGTACAACCAAAGTATAAAACATGGGAATTCAAATTCATATCTCACTCTGAAATCACTAAGCCATGAATCTGAGAGCAGGGGGACTCTTTCAATAGAAGAATTTTATGTGCGAAGATTTCTTTCCGTTTTTCCCGAAAGGGACATCTTTAAAACAATTTCTAAAAACTCTGCCAAAATACACATAAAATGCACTCAACTTCACCACTTGAAGTGGACAGTTTGGAAGGGTTAAACGCACTCACTCTGCTGTACAGCCGTCACCACCCTCAGGCACCGAGCCCCTCCCACCAGCACAACCAACACTGTAACCTCAAACAGCCCCCCTTCTCCGAGCCCCTGGCCACCACAGTCCTCCCTGTCTCTTGAATTGGACCACTCTACGTCTCTCAGAGAAGTGGACTCATACGGTGCTACTCCTTGGTGACCGGCACTTATCATAATGTCCTCGAGGCCCATCCATAGTGTAGCTTGTGCCCAAATTTCCCTCCTTCTCAAAGGTGAATCACACCCCATGGCATGGATGGATGGCCCACATCTTGTCTATCCATTCATCCATCCGTGAGCAGGCGGAAAGCTGCCGGTTTTTGCTATCACAAAGTGTGGATGTTCAGCTATCTCTTCGAGACCCTGCTCTCAATCCTTTGGGGTTTATACGCAGAAGCGGAATTGCCAGATCATATGGTAAGTCTATTTTTAATTGTTTGAGGAGCATCCATCTGGCTTTCCGCAGTGGCTGGACCACTTTACATTCCCACCAGCCATGCACAAGGCTTCCAATTTGTCTACAGCATTTCCAACACTTGTTATTTTCTATCTGTTTGTTTGTTTGTTTATACTAGTCAACCTCATGGCTGTGAGTTGGCATCTGACTGCTCTTCTGGAAGGAATACGACAATTTCAAAATTACCAAGAGTGATTCCAACCAATTTAGAGTCAGCGGTAGGGAGCAGTCGCTATATTCTGTCCTGAGATACACGTCTCCGTCCTCCTCGTCTTTGGACACCATGTCTGTCCCGTGTGCTTACACATCAACGGGCGTTTAAGGCCTCATCATAGCCACACTTGCCTCATCTTCTCTCTGGGTTTCTTGTCTCCAGAGGGTGTGTGTTTTTTCTCAGCTTCCCTTGATGGCCAGATGATGATAGAGCATAAGACAAAACAAAAAAAAAAACCCTAAATTTTTTTTTAAAAATGAGCAAGTGTGGAGCTGAATGTGTGTGAGTGTCAAAGCAGAGAGCGGGCTGGACGAGGTGAGGGCTCGGGCCAGGGGGCAGAGGGCCTCTATTGCCCTTGGCTCTGTAGCCTGGAGGATGGTAATTGCTCCACAAATATTTTCTGAATTTTTTTAAATCCTCACTCCAGGACATTTTAATTGATTTTTAGAAAGAGAAAGAGGGAGAGAGAGGGAAACACTGATTGGTTGCCTTCTATATATGTGTGCCCTGACCAGGGATTGAACCCGCAACCTTTTCTGGTTCGACAGGACAACACTCCAACCAACTGAACCACCTGGCCGGGGCCATGTTTTCTGAATTTATGTTGAGTGCACGAACCTTCTTGGGCCTCTCACCCAGTCTCCAGAACACTCCCTGGAAGTCATACTTCTATAAGCAGCAGAAGAAAATAAAATAAAATCAGGGCCCTGGAACAGATGGTCACTTCAGCCCGCACCGTCACGGCACGTGCGGTAGTCCGCACGCACTTACCTATTTTGCCCCAATAACAGCTCTTGGTGTTGGTGTTGCTAGCGACCTTGTATTGGAGAGATGGGATTCCTTGTCTCGTACCCTGCCTCACTGTTCTGTGCTACCTCCCTGGTCTGTGTCCCTTACTCATGGTGAGAGTTCCGAAAGTCCGAAATTCCATCGTTAAGTCGCTTAAAAACCATGTTTTCCTATAGAAATCTCTCAAGTGCTACACAAACCATTTACCATTTTGCTCTCAGAATTCTGTGTTTATCAGTGGATAAACCTGGGTACTTGGGGAAGTTTGAGTCCAGAAATCTATGTACGTAGGTTATTAAATCTGCTTCTCTTCTCTTGCGCGCGCACACACACACACACACACACACACACAACCCAACAACAAATGAACGAAGACACCAACGACACCTGGCATCTGACCAAAGTCTCTGTTGAGAATACCTGTGGTTCAAAATCCGCTCTGCTGGGAGGCATGGCTCGCCTCTTTAATTTGGTCTTAAAAAGCAATAAAATTAAAAGCAATCAAACTCAGGTGCCCTTATAAAAAGAACAGGGGAGAATGCTCTGACTTGCATACCTGAGGTATGATTGACATTTTCTTCCTTAAATCGTGAAGTCCAATTTCGGTTGTCAAGATCTTATCGATCCAAATTTTACCTTCGGGTTCTGACAGTCTAAAAAGGGCTGAGATGAGGGAGCTCTTTCCAGCTCCTGTTCTTCCCACGATGCCAACCTGTAAAGAGACCCAGGAGAGACTAAGAAAACACAATACCCCACAGACCTAGGAGCCGCCTCGGCTGTCGAGGAGGAATGAAAGACATTCTTTGCTCAGTGCAGTCAGAGTTTCTCAGCTTTGACGCTGTTGCTATTTTGGGCCAGATAACTGCTTGTTGTGTGTCTGTAGGGGCCGTTCTCTGCACCGTACAGTGTTTGCCAGTCTCCCAGGGTTCTATCTCCTAGGTGCCAACAGCACCCCCGAACTGTGATAACTAGAAGTGTCAGATGCTGACAAATGTCCCTGGGGTGGGGGTGGAGAGTGAGGGGGGTGAGGGGAACTGCCCCTGGTTAAAATTCCCTCTGTCTAAAGAAAACTTAAAAACAAGAGAATCAATCTCCTGGCAGTGAGGAGCCAGCAGTCTTGTATGTGGTCAGTGAGAAGTCGGCTTTTAAATTAGCTTCATTCCTGTGTCTGGAAATTGTGAACCTTGACATTTCTTGGGTAATTTTATTGATATGTCCACAGGTCAAGTCAGAAGTGTTATACATAAACAAGTATTCATTTTCCCAGAGTTTGAGCTTTTTCAGAGGAATTGTTGTCTGATAAAGAAACTAAATCATTCCTGGATGTTAAAAGTCTGGTTATATTCTGCCTTGAAAGGATTCATCTTAAACTTCTAAAATGTAGGTCTCTGTGTCTTAGAAGACAGTGAGTAGCCAAAATACACATAATGGAATCAACAACAACAATGTAAATAACGCTTGCTATTTGTATGAGGCCTTTCATCTGAGCCGTTCAAAGGGCATTTCACAAACCAATGAATAGTTGTAAGTTTCTCCTTGGGAAAGAAACGTGTCAAGTATCAGTCTCGTTGTTAAAACTAAAGCAGAGAGAAATTACATGTGCTGACAATAAGATCAAAGCATCAATAGAATGCATGTAAGATGCTGGTCGGGAATGGAACAGCACCGTAAAACCAGGTTTTTTGCGGTGTGCATTTACACCTGTATGCAGAAATGGGCTTTTTTTTAACCAATGAGCTTGCCCAACTGAAAATTCCCTGGTGGGAGATTCCCCAAGAGATGAGATCTCTATTAGGAATCTAGAATCAGTAAGGGGGCATAAGACCTGCTTTCACTCATCGGGGAATTAATTCAGTAGATTTCCAAAACTCAGCGCTTCCAACACAGAAGAACTAAGCCTTTCTGAGCACTGATGACATGGTGGGAACTATATATATTTTCTCATTCGAATACCTCCAAAGATGTAAAGCTTAATCTGCAAAATCAGTAATAGCATTTCAGAACAGAATTTATCTTTCTCTCTATGCAAGTGGGGCAGCAAGCAGTGAGGGACACGCACATCTGCCTGTTCTCTCTGCTCCCACGCACGTTCCATTGTCCCATCAACCTTCACAAAACACATGTTCAAAGACGAAATTATTAACAGTTTCAAGATAGCATCAGCAGGGCTTTCAACTGGGACCTTTCAGAGAGCAGAACTCCTTGCATGGCACTTTTTTGCACACCTGAGAAAAGTCAGCCCGCCTGCAATTCTTGAATGGTGTCGCCAGCATTTGAACCCAAGACCCTGATTCTGGCACCTAGGCCCTGAACCACTGTAACCAGACTCTCTCCCTTGATGATACTGCTTTTGTGACTGCATTCATTTTGCTTTTTCTTCTTCACCACTGCTTCCATGTCAACATTACTGGCTAGTCACATGACTAGCTGACTGGGGCCGTCAGGCTAGGAAGACCCCAGGAAGCTCCCTGTCTCCAGGGTGGCTTTTCTAGGCCACGTTCAAACCTCTTCCATAGACTTGAGTTTCCTCACTCTCACTAAACCACAGTTTTCCTATGTCGATGCATCCTTTTCTTGATCAGGTTTTCTGTCCAAAGGATACGTCAGAACTGACTCAGCCCTTTACCTGCTGCTGGAACAGTAGGTAAGCTCTTTTTGATTCTCCTCTAACGCTACCGCACTGCGAAGGTCAGCACGCCTCCCTCACTCGGAGGAAATGGACCTGCCTCGGGCTGTGCTGAATAGAACATCCAAGGTACGACATCACCCTTCTTTCCCAAACTTATGTATGTCTCCTCAGCCGAGTTCCCACTTCCTGTCCCTGGGTGGTCCCCCGAGAAGCTGACTCTGAGAAGGAAGTTCACGAAGCACTCTCTTCGTGCAAGGGTCGGGTGCTTTCCGGGGCATTGAGTGGGTCAAAAAGTCCATTTAGTTTCTTCCATAAAATAGAAGGCACATTTTTCATTTTCACCAATAACTTTATTGATTTGGATATTTTGAGTATGTTGGCTATCTCCTGCATGGTATGATGTTGATTGTTCTCAGTTAATGTGTTGATTTGATTGCTATCAATTTCAACTGATCTACCAGACCGTGGAGCATCGTCCAATGAGAATTTTCTAGAATGAAACTTCACAAACCACCTTTGACCCACTTGATCACTCATGGCACCTTTCCATACACTGTACAAATATGGGTTTGTTTTTTTTTTTTGCATTTCAGTTGCATTTTTACCTTCCTTGAAATAATAAAGCACAATATGCCCAAAATATTGTGTACTCTCTTCCCTTTCCAATATTAAAATGGCTGCATAAAAATTCACCAGTTTTGATAAGCGTTTTTTTTAATGCACGCTGATATGACGGCTGTCACAATACAATCTAACAAAACTGTTTCGAATGAAGTTAAAAGACTACGGAGCGCTACTGGAGCCACCTTACAGAAAAAAAACAAACGAACCTTTGGGCCGACCCAATACTCCTGCTGTTCTCGTATGTAAAGCAGCTTGCAGGCAAGGGACCACGCCCCCAAGAATGTGCCCGGGCCCCTGCGCTACCTGTCAGTGCACCCGGAGCTGACCCATGGGTTCAAACTGCAACATCTGTAGTTTCGTGGTGACCGGCCAAGACCTGGCAGGGAGCACTCCGCGCTGCTCACGACCACAGGACCCTGAGCACCAAACTCAGGTGGGGACAGTGAGAAAAAAGAAAGCCTGCCTCTATTTCTCTCTGCTGTTCGGTCACCAAAACTAAGCCTGAGTCTGTCACAGGTCCCCAGTGGGTTTTGTCAAATGCCCATGGAGAACGTCAGTGACATCAGTAAGTCTTCATTCATGAACACCAAAGAGATACCTGGGAGAGAGTCTTATTTTAGCTGCTAGGCAACTGCCTCTCTGTGTTTTCCCAGTTGGGCCAAGGCTGGTCTCTGATGACCACACCTGTGAGGTGGATGTTTGCCGCTGAGTCTCCCTTCATGTGTCTAATTCAACGTGACCGACACCCAAAGCCCCACTCACAACTACAGGCCCTTCTCCACACTTCCCCACCTTAATCTCCTGGCTTCTTTTCCAGGCTCATGGGCTCCAAACAGTCACCCCATTTCTAGCTTTTTCCCACTCCGGCATGACCCTGAAGATTCTACTTCTGCAGTGTTTCATGACCCCAATTCCCTCATTATAACGCCTGGTCATTGCCTGTGTGCAAGGCTGCATGACCATTAATAGAAAAACTAACAAAATAAAACCATCCCTTTTCTTAATCATATTCACTTCAAGTAAATTGGAAAGGAAATGAATGCTAGCAGTAACCGCGGCACTCTGATAAAGCCATTCTTAAGATGTTGATGTATTTTCTTTCTGGACTTGTGTGTGTGAGTTCTTTAGGATACTAGCTCACATAGTTAAATAAAATGGGATTAATAGGAATATACTATTTTAACCTGCTTTTGTTTACCATTTCATAACACTTATTTTAATGGCTATATAATAGTACAGTATGTGATCATTTAGTCATCAAATCCCCTACTTGTAGATACTTTATTATTATGAATAACTGTGTTAAGTATCCTTAGGTTAAATCTTGGCAAACAACCTTCATTATTTCCTTAAGATACATTCTTAGATGTGGAATTGCTGAAAAACAGGTGTGAACATTTTCAAAGGAGGCCATTAAGTACTGCCAAACTACCTTCCAGAAATAGGACATCCATTTCCACTCCTACCCATTTCCCCGCGTGTTCACAAACCTGCGTGTTACAGTTTTGTTTTAATCACCATTAGCTTCATTTTGAAGAGTGGAATCACCTTTCCCCTTGCATCCTGCTAGGAGTGCACAACAGATAACAGCTTCCTGCCTCTCGCATCTCCCGACTATGGCCCATGTACCCTGGCTTCTTGGGCTAAACTACCCAGGGGCCCTTCTGTGCTTGTCTGTGCCACGGCGACATCTTTTCTACAAAACTGTCCCAACTAACCACTCCATCCTTAGTCAGCTGCCTTGGGATTACCAGGCGGTGGCGAGGATTAAAAGGGGAACTGGGTGTTACATACCTGGCAGGCCATCTCCCCGAAGACTGCAGGTGCCCAGTCCTTTCACCGAACCAGGGCACCAAGGCCTTTGCACATGCTGGTCCCACCCCCTGGAATGGCTTTCACGTGTATTTCCAGCCCCTGAAATCCTGAGCACATGGCACAAATTCCATCTCAAAGGCCCAATTTCTTGGAAACATTCTGCCTGTCCCCTAATGGATGTCATCTCCTTCCAAACTTCAACAAAAACTGTGACCTCCTTCTACCTTACATTGTAACAACTTTTTTAAAACTCAAGAGTAGGGACTATTTATTTTTTTGTGATTTTTTAATTTATTTTCAGAGATAGGGAAAGGGAGGCAGAAAGAGAGGGAGAGAAACATCAATGTGTGAGGAGAAACATAGATTAGCTGCCTCTCACACGCCCCCAGCTGGTGACCTGCCTGCAACCCAGACCCAGGCCCTGACTGGGACTCAAACCGACGCCCATTCTGGTTCGCAGGCCGGCACTCAATCCACTGAGCCACACCAGCCAGGGCCACAGTAGCCATTTTTGCACTGCCTTGTTCCCTCTGCTGGATGGGATGTGTGACAGCAGGACCCGTATTGGGTCCCCTTTGCGGGACAGGTATTACTCGTGGTATCCTGCCCAAATGAGGCATTTCACTGAGGGTGAAGGAGTCTACCTCCAGCTGGAGAGATTCATGGAAAACCTGCTACCATAGTGTCTAAGTACACACTATGCAGAACAGAAAAGACTCCCACGGCAGATGGATCCCGTCACCACAAGTGCAACTGCAAAGGGCCAACCCCTCCTTGTCGGGGGCAGTCAGTGGAGGAGGTGACGCCCAGTTCACGCTGTGATAAGGGCAGCTCTGTCTGTCCAAGAGTTTACTCTGCGCTGCCCTCACTGCCGGCAGGTGCCTGATGGGCCTTATTTTGTTGAAGTGGAACAACAGCCCCGGAGGCCAGGTCCTATCACTTCCATTTTGCAAGAGAGAAGATAGGGGCTTAGGAAGATTGATTAACCGGCCTGAGATAACAGAGCTTAGAAGCGGCAGGAAGCAAATCCAGGGCTGTCTGCCTCTTGTCCACTTGCTCACGGCCTCCTTGTCACTGCATGGCCTGGCGCCTTGTGCCCTTCTGTTTAGATAGAAGAGATAAAGTGAGGGAGAGGTGCGGGTTAAAGGAAATGGCCCGCCATATGGATCCTATGGCCAGAGAGTGAAAGCATGAGGTAGACATGGGTGAGTGAAATGTGGTGGGTGGGACAAAAGAACAGACATCTCCGAGCAGACAGGGTACCCGAGGTTGGGTGGGCTGCCTGTCAGCAGGGAGAACAGGCACCCATGTCCGGGGCTGGGAGAGAGAACTGCAGCGACTCGTGCACACGGCAGCCAGGAAATAGCACCCTGTGTTCCACACAGTGCCCGCTTGAGGCAGGGAGGCTAACTTTTGAAAGAGCCTCAAGTGATACTGCTCCGCCTGGCTGTCTGTGCCTCGGGCCCAGGCGGGGCCCGGCCCACCATGGAATACCTCTGGTCTCGGCAGGAGGCTGGTTCGGGGAAGGCCCGACAGCAGGATACAAAACTGCCTGAGCCGAAGACAGACCCTACTGAAAGGATGCAAATAAATGCATCAACTCGGAACCACACAGAATCAGATTATAACGTAAACCCCCAATGTGCAGACTATACAAGTAAATCAATCAGTAGGGTGGTTAAGTGACATAGACCTTTCTAGAGCATCGTGCTCAGTCAATAGGGGTTGGGGTAATCCAGGAGCTTAACTTCAAACTGCCAAAGGACATTTCATAGAAATCATGGGCTATAACTTTAGCGGGGCAGGAGGGTCTTTCAAATGGGACTTTGAGCTGTAAGCTTGGGGTGGCTCTGTGATTCTGCATTTCTAAGAAGCCCCAGGGGGTGGAGGGGCTGCGGGCTCTGGCGCCGAGTCTGAGCCGTAAGGAAGAAGAAGGCAGCATGGGAAGTGGGACCATCTGGGAGTGAGGGGACGGGTTTTTGAGGAAGTATTATGTAAAAAAGGAGCAAATGTAGGAAACTCATATTTTTGCACATTATAGCAAGGTCTAGTACACATCTGTAAAATGTATTACCCAAGTAATAGCTCTGAGCAAGAAAAAAATAGTAATAAACCAAAATCAATCTACCTCTAGAGCTGGAAAATGCTTTGAAATGGCTCAGTACTCTCTAAAATGATCAAATCAACCACAAAATCATCTAAATGAAAAATGCAGCCAGTGTTCAGAATCTAACCAGGAAGGCCTAAGGTGCAATTTGCCTCATTTGGGTTCTTTATTTCCCTTGCTATTTCTTCTATGAATTAGAATCCCGCTTAGTGCTTATTAGATTGTCTTGTTTACTACAACTTCCAGGGATCTGGACAGCAGAGGAAATAAGTGAAAGAGTTTAATGAAGCCCCATTCTGCTGTGTTGACACATTCCCATGTCCCCTGCAATAGCCTCTCGCAGTCAAATGCCTGACAGAAGGGGAGATCTGGAATAACGGGGCTGGCACAGGCGTGGGGGGGATGAAACCTGGGGTTTTCACGGGCAGAGTGAGATCACGCCATGGCTACACCCGCTGGGTACAATCTCCAAATACACAAATGGGGCCAAAGGTGATGCAGTGAGTTGGCCCTCGACACCAATCAAAGTCAAGTTCTTGGGGTTACTCTAACTCAGTCTCCAGGTTCCATTTTCCCCTGAGCATTTTAGAATCTCAGATAATCCTATGCCTTGGGGGTTGTTTTTCAGATGGAAGAATTCAAACCTGTTAAGTCTCTGAGTCCTACCGCTGAGCTTCTCAGATAATTCATAGTGTCGGGTTCTGGGGGAAATTTAAGACATGGGCAAATTAACGGAATTATGTCTGGCCCGGGGAAACTTGACGGGCCCGTCGTCTGCCAGCAGGCAAACCTCCCTGACGCAGCTTGGAGCGACAGGGTCCCAGCCGCAGCTACCGTTTTCCCGACACAGCACCCTCCCCTCTTCCCCACCTACAATAAACCTGGGAATAATGAGGAGCCAGCTTGCACCACGTGACTCGCTAACGCTGCTCCCTGGGTATCATTAGGGCATTAAGTTGAACGCTGATTCTTTCATGTCACAGGGGTATCATTCATTAAATTATGGCTATAGTCCACTAAATGGGTCTGTGGTGGAGGGAGAGCTTGAAAGAGCAGTTCTTAGAGCGTTTAACACATCCAGGTAATGCGTTGTTTACAGGAGCCGGCTCGAGCGTCTGTTTGGCTGCGGGTCGCCCCACACCTGTGCATCACTCACCCTCCCAGCCAGCGGTCCCTCAGCACCCACCGTGTGCCCCACGGAATGCCATTTCCTGGGGGACACAGATGAGGATAAGATGCTCCCTGACCTCCAGAAGCCTCGGTGTCCTGGGAGCCCAGACCCCAAATGACAGAGCATGGCATAAGTGCTATCTTTTATGTCTCAACTGTGGTAAAACGCACAGAACATAAAGTTTACTGACATAAACTTTTTTAAAGACTTCATTTATTTATTTTTAAATAGGGGAAGGGAGGGAGAAAGAGAGAGAGAGAGAGAGAGAGAAACATCATTATGGTTTCCTCTTGCACACCCCTACTGGGGACCTGGTCTGCAACCCAGGCATGTGCCTGGGAATCGAACTGGTGACCCTTTGTTTTGCAGGCTGGCACTCAATCCTTTGAGCCACACCAGGGCTCAACGTAACCATTTTTTTAAGGGTACAGTTCCGTAGTGTTAAGTATACTTACATTGTTGTACAACCAATCTCCAGAATTCTTTTTGCCTTGCAAAAAAAACCCCCCAAAAAACAAACAAAAAAAGCGCTCTGCACCCATTAAACACTAACTCCCCACTCACCTCTCCTCCCAGCTCCTGGCTATTACCAGTCTGCTTTCTGTCTCTATGAATCTGACTATTCTCCTAAGCTGATAAAAGCAGAATCATACAGCATTTGTTCTTTTGTGCCTGGCTTATTTCATTTAGCATAATGTCCTCAAGGCTCTTCCACAGGTAAAAATTTCCTTCATTTTGAAGGCTGAATAGTATTCCATTCTATGGATCTACCACATTTTGTGTATCCATTTAAAGCCTTGATAGACACTTAGGTTGCTTCCGACTTTTGGCTACTGTGACAAATCCCTCTATGAACACGTGTGTACTATAAATGTTATCTTAAAAGAATATACAATGTGCTGTGGTGGAGCTGAGGGTCTCTCAGAAGCAGATGCGTTAGAGTTGACTCTGAAAACAGGGGCGTTCACCAGCCTGATACTGGAAGGAGAGGGTTGCTGAGGTCCAGGAGCCAGGGGGACTGGATGCTTCAGGAGAACCTATACGCTACTCGAGCTCAGGGTGTGAACGTTCATTACGAATTGAGGCCCAAGGGGTAGGTGGGAGAGAGCTTTCTGCAGCCCCGTCTGTTCTGCTTTAGCCACTTCTTTAAGAGAAGCCACGCCTGTGGCTCAGACACTGGCAGGGCCAGGTCACACACCTCCTGCCAGTCCCCCACATGAAATCATCCCTGGTGCCCTTGGGTTTCCTTTCGTGCACACTGAGTGAGACTCTGGGCCTTTACTGCCTCCAGTGGGGGGCTCTGGTTCCTGAGTCCTGACTGGGTCACGGATTCCAAACTCTTCCCTGGTGCTGCATGCTGACCATACAGCCCCCGCTGGAGAGGACCTGGGGGCCTTGCTGCGGTTCCAGCAGTGGCTCCCCCAGGCCAGGAGCTGGCAGGGGGCCCATAAGGATCATCCAGATGGGTGTCTTAGAGAGAAGCAGTCTGCTGGGGGGAGGGCAGGGGAACGACAGCAAGGGATCGAGGGGGGTTAAAGGAGTCCAGGTCTACGGAATGGGCCGAGGGACAGAGGAGGGCTGGAACTGAAGGCCACCCTGGGGAGGAAAGAGGAGAAGGATCCGAAAAATACAAAGAACTCAGAATCAATAGGAACTAGATATTGGAGGGCCAGGGTTGACTTCCAGGCCCTTCGTTCACTGCAAGACCTCAGGAATGAATGATTAGATGTTGGATCAAATATCCTGGGTCAGGTGAAGGTCCAACCTTGGGGCCCAGGGCTCAGCACCCAGCACGAGGCAGTGCACACCACGTGGAAAGAAATGTTGGTGTTCACATTCACGGTCAGTTTCCAGGAAAGATTTACCTATAGTCGCCAATGTAATTGGCATACGAGGAAGCCAAGAAGCAGGTGCACTGCTCAATCTTTGGTTGACATTTTAAAGAGGTAAGATAGTTTGAACAAACCTTTTCTCTTGCTTTAATCAGTGCCGTCAGGTGCTTCAGGACCACAGGCCCGTCAAAACTGTACATGAAGTTGACGTTGTCAAAGACAATCACTCCTTCGTGGGGCCAGGTCAGCGGTGGGCGTTTCAGGGATTCCCAAGGTGCTTCCTTCTCCAGGTCTGTATATTCCATCACCCTCTCCACCGAAATCATCTGAAAGACACATGGCATCACACAGGTGAGGGACGGAGGGTCTTGTTAACGGATGCTCTGAGACCACAAAGGAACTGTTCTGTTTTCAGACCTAGTTGGCTAAGGATATCTCAGGTCTTGACATCCCTAAGGACAGAAATAGGAGTTTGATGAAGGCTTGGATGATTTCCAAACTTGTTCATCCTCTTTTGACACTTCTACTTCCCTCAACATTATGTTAAAACTAAAAGAACTACAGACATGAATGCTACGATGTCATTCATCCACTTTTCACACCTGAATAAAAAACAAACAACATTCAAAGAAAAGAATACTTCCAGCCACCAATGTGTGATTTGTGCTACAAAAGCACCACCTGTTTTGTATGAATTAAACTGAATGGTCATCAAACCTCATTTCAGTAGTCACTCTCTGCCTGATTAGAAAAACGAAATGAAAATATTTTAGTTTTACTGTCTCCTCTTTTTTAGGAGACACTGCAAAAGTCCCCCAGAGGAGATCACTCACATACGGACTAAGTGGCCCTGAACAAACGTGACGCCACACCTTTGACTTAACGATTCTGAGATAGAGCACCAGAGAAATGGGACACCAGCAAATTCAGGGGTTCAATGAGACAAGAATAAATGCCCAAACGGGGCAGGAGATACCAAATTTTTCTTTTACCAGGAATAACCCATTAAGAAACAAAAATAAACAGGCTTCTAAGAAATGAGCTTGCATCCTCTCCAGAATTTCAGAGCCTCTCCCCCACAGAGACATTTATGACATCTGAAGACAGCTTGTGATGAATATAAAACCTGCTGACATAGCACACACAAGGCTGAGCAAAAGATGCATATATTTTATTTTACATTAACTTTAAACAGATGGAAGGAGGATCTAAAAAACTCGGTTAGCTACGATGCAAAAATAACAGTTCTAATATTTTACATAAGAAGTGCTTTTATGCTATTGAATGGCGAGGGGACTTGAAAAGGCTGAGGACGTTATGATAAACGTTACCATATTCTCGACTTCGGTGCTCTGCCTGACGCACCACTGGAACATCCCCATCAGTGAGAGGGCGTAGGACAGCGTGAGGCCCACCTGCCCGGCATCCAAAGCTAAACGAGGCAAAGGAAGGGGGGGTGGGTAAAGTCAGTCCCATTGTTAACCTGCAGTCTGGCTCCTCCTGTCACTTGTCCAAGAAGAACCCCTTGAAAATATCGAAACACTTTGCATATAATAATAGTAAGGGCTATACTCTTATTATCTGTTGATTGAGATCATGATACAAAAAAACTCCCATAAAACACAAAACAACCCCCCCCCCCCCGTGAATTCACAAAGGCTATTCAATGGGTTTACGAATCCCAACAGGACTGAGGGACACGTGGTAGGGTAACATGGTAAGTCACGATTTAAGACTTTGCTCATGAGGTTTTGGGGGCCACTATGTCATTTCACTTACGAGGTCCAAGGCCATGGCAGTTGGAAACCCCCCAAAACAAAGCCATGGGCACAAAGAGCCAGGGCTCTCACATCTAAACTTGGCCTTCGTTGTTTCAGCATTAAACACTGTGATCACGTGGTCGTGTGAGATGGGAGAGTCTGGGTGGAGAACTCAAGCCAGGCATGCCACCGCCTGCGCTCGGGCACCCATGTGGCCACGACGGTGACGTGCTTCCCGCCCCCCAGGGCTCCGGGCACCGCCAACCCAGAGACCCGAGTAGTCCGAAAGCTGAAACCTAAAGCCCTCAGCGGGATGAGATCCCAAACAGTAAACTCGGTTCTCGCCTCACAACTACCAGCCACTCCCGGATGCTCGGAGGGGCAGCCCACTACATTGCATAGGTCTTGTCCAGTTCAAATGGAAAGATCACAGAAACCCACCCAGACCCAAATGATTCTCCACGTGGGCCAGACTGACCTAACCTGACCCCCAGCAAACGCTTCCATGCAAATTCACGAGGGTCCAACAGTACACAGGACATTAGACAAGGTGGCAAGAGAATTTAACGCTTGTAAATCCACGCTGCAATCACACCACAACTAGTTACTTCCATCCGTACTTACTTTTTGCCAGAACCAGGGACCCAAAGGCAATAACAATGACAAAGATGGTACAGATGGCATCCAGACGCACAGCAAACCATCGGGACGTGGTCAAAAACAAGAACCAAGCCTCTGGAGGTGTGAACCACAGTGGGCACAACGAAAGAATACAAAGAGCATGTTAACTTCGTCACATAAGGGGAAACGATTTGCTCCGTCGAGCTGCAGGAGATGCGTACACAAAGGAGGACTGCAAAGTGGCACACCCATGGAAACAGAAGGTTCCAGAAAGCTAAGTGCAATGTACTGAGGAATCAGTAGAGCGGCTGCATGGGGAGTGTGCAACTGAGAAATTTCCCCCCTCAGGTTACAAATGGAAATGTGATCCCACTCTAGGACATGAAAAGAGGGCCCGGCAGTGCATCTCCGGCTGGGCCTCCAGGGGAAGCTCAGCCTTGCCCTTGGCTGCCTGTTCCCGGTTCTCCGACAGCAGAGAGCGCAGCCCCTGGTCTGTCTCCAGCACCCTCCACACTCACAGCAGGGCTCTGCACACACTGTCCGTCTCTTCAAAGCCTGTCTCTAAATGACCATCTCACCAAAGGCATTTGCACGTGGCTGTCCAAGGGCCATTTCCTCTTCAAAATAGGACACAGATTGGAAAGATGAGCCAGGATTTTAAGGACTTTGAGGGAATTCTAAAACTTCTGCATAGAAAAAAGCTTCACTGATACAGATAATAATAGATGTCAATGGCAAATCTGATAATTACGGAACGAATTTTCTCGGTCACTGCTGCCACCCTACAGGCTCTGCAGAAAGAGTTGGCAAACTATGGCCTGTGGGCCAAGAACGGTCTGCCACCTGCTTTTGTAAATAAAGTTTTATTGGAACACAGCCATAGCCATTTGCTGATGTATTTATCTTTGTGTACATTTGAGCTACAGTGGCAAAGCTGGGTAGCTGCAACAGTGCGGATATGGCCCACAAAGTCTAGAATATTTACTATCTGGCTCTTCACACACACACAAATTTTGCTTACTCCTGCCCCAAGGGGACAGAAAGTCACAGGGCCTGGTGGAAGGACAATGCAAGCGGTAAGGGGGAGGAAGGCAGTGGTGTGATTGGGGAGGAGGGGCATGAAGAGGGGGGCAGGCAGGAGTCATGCCAGGGGCCAGGGGAGGCGAGGAGGTGCAGAGACAGGAAGAGGGGCTGGCCTGAGGGGGAGGCAGAGGGAAGGGCTAGCCCACAAGGCTGCCTGAGAGAAAGGTCGAGCCTCAGGAAGCAGCATGTCCCCTGCTTTGAAACCATTTCCAGAGGCGGACGGACCTGAATGCAAATCCTGGTGGGCATCAAACAGCTCCTGAAAGCGCTCTTCAGTTTTGCAGGCCCGGATGGTCCAGAGCCCCTGGAGAGAGGACGATAAGTGCGAAAACACCGGGCTCCGTGCTGGGGAGACAAAGAAAGGCCAAGGACAGAGCAAGTCAGCAAGACCGACGGCAGGGAAGCCCGCTGCCCCTGTGCCCTGGGGTCATGGGTCCCAACAAACAGCACCGCCAGAGCATCCCAGCAGGCTGAGGAAGAGAAGGACTCCACCCCTTCTGGAGAAGACCCTCCATGTCAACCCTCAACCCCCTGGCCACACCACGCTTCCCTTTACCAGCCTGAAAACAAAAGCTGCTCTTTGAGTCTATCTTCAACCATTGTAATCGCAGCTCACTTTGGATCACTAAATTCTCCCTTTCCTAGCCCATTCATCCAGAGTCCCCTCCAACAGGGCTTCCCTTCATATTCTTTGCCAACATCCCTCCAGGTGGGAATTACTGTTCACCCTTTTTTGAGTCAGTTGTGTTTTTTAAACTGAATTCTCTGTTAGAGTCCTCACCACACGGAATTATGGTTAGCTCTCTACGTGTCTGTCACCACCTTAGATTGGGAACTTCAGGGCTGGGAGAAAAGCAGCCAATACATCCCCAAAACTGGTGTAGTGGCCGGCACAGGCCAGATGCATGGTAGATGAGATGGGTGTCCCATCTGCTGTGTCTCTGAATGCTCGTAACTGTACCAGTGCCTGCTAGTGCACACCAGTCCCTGTATGGGTCACTGCACACCTGGATATCACGCTCCCCTTGTGCCCACAGCACCTGCGCAGCTGAAATGTCTTTGAATACTCTTAGTTCCAGCTAAGGGAGTCTGTCGATGTTTTTGTAACTGCCCTGCTGGACACTTGCCCTGCATTTGGAGGTCACAACATCATGTGGCAACGACATCACCCTTTCAGAATCTGGCCGTGGTTTTGGTGGCCATTCTCTTTTGAGTCATGTCATGTTGGGTTTATATCCTGATGCCCCATGACCGACCATTTGTTTCCTTGCTGTCTCCTCTGAGGGCAGCTTGTGGGTGGGTGCCAAGGTCTGGCCCCTGTGCTGGGAAGCTGGTGGGCTGCCTGCTGCAGGGGAGGCTGTGGGCCTGGGCCCTCTGTCTGGGGTGACCAGTAACTTGTGTCTCATCAACGGCAAGTGCTCCTGCAGCCATTTGTGTCCTTGGCATCTCCTAGGGCAGACCTGTCAGTAAAACCTGGGTGTGTGGAGGAAGTGAGATCGCGTATCTTACAGTAGGCTGCAGGGAAGAAGAATCGGGAAAAAACTCAAACTTAACTTCAGCGCCTGGTTCCTTAGCCCGGCATCCAAGTGTCTGTCTGTGTGTTGGGCTGCTCAGTACTGACGTGCACATGGGCAGTGCACGTGAGTGGGTGCTTGGGGGTGGGGCGGTTTGCTATGCCTACTTAGTAACCACGGCTCTCCAAGCGAGGAAGGAGGAGGAGTCCATGTGTGACTTGTGACACTGGGGGGCTGGGCTGCAGGCTACCTGACCACCTACCTACTCGGCCTTTGGGGCTCTTCCCTGATTAGGGACCTTTGGGAAAAAAAAAATGCTTTCCTTTCCCCATTATTCTAAAACTAGGAAGCTGATGAGAGTACAAGACAGAACCGACCCCTCTCCCGGAGCCTCCGATGGGGATTATTTTCGGCATCCGTTTACACGAACAGCCCAGGAGGAAAGAACACCCCAGTGCGGCACTACACCAAATGCTGGTGACAATAAAGAGCAAAACTGAAAAAGACAGAGCGTATCTTTTCAAAATGTTTAACAACCACAACTTCTTGGCCGTGTCTGGAGTATGTGGAAGTAACGTATTTTCCCCAGGCCTCACTTCTGACATCTGCGTGTGCTTCCTGATGCCTGGGTTCCTCTCCCTCGTCCTTCCCTTTCCTCAGTTGTTTCCAGTACATTCAGGGGGGTGGAATGCCCATCTATCAGTTCAAGTATGGTGAAATATTTCACTGTCTGAAAAAAGCATTTACTGCCTTCCTGCTCTGCACTGGGAAGCCTGTCGAGATAGGGACGGACATGGTCCCTGTCCTCATGGTACTCACAGTCCTGTGATTATGATGTTACGTGCATCCCCCGTCCCTTCCTCGTGTGCTCCCCTAAAAGCAGCACCTAGGGGGACACTAACCTACCTGCCTTAAAGGCCACACTGACTACCGGTGGTTTTACTATTCAGTTACTGAACGCTCACTGGGTGAGACAGGCTGGAATGCAGTCTGCAGAATTTCAGGAGTGCCCTTCAGTGTGGCAGGGAAGGAAGCCAGCCTGCTTTGCCACCCCAGCCCGCCTGGGTACTCACTTGTAGATTCCAGGCGTTTGATGTCTCTTGACGTCTGTAGGAAATAGCTCCGAAGGAAGAAGAAAATGATGCCAAGGACCACCAGAGGTATTGCAACCCAAGGAATCATAGCCACCGCCACGCTCACCACACTAAGCATTTGCAGGAATGCCTGAAACAGTGAAAATAGAGACAGAGGTCTCCTGTGATACTGTGGTTTATAATAAATACTTGGTCTTCGTCCCCATTTCTGGCACAAAGCTCCCCACACTGATTGTTCAAATTTCCTGGGCCCGGAGCATTATGGAGGTGTCTTTTGTTATGTTAATGAAGTAACTTTGGGAAAGTACCCAGGGATCCCAGCTGGTTGCCAGTGAAGCCCACCTGTGGGTCCAGGATCAGCACTTGCAGTCCCTGCCCTGATGTCCAGAGAGAACTGCGGGGCTTGAGGTCGACTCAACTGCCAATGGCAATGACTTCCTCCGTCGTGACCATGTAATGAACCATCAATAAAGCCCCCCAAATACAGGTCCTTCCCTGCCTTTGTTTTTCCCAGAGAGCTTCTAGGAGGGGAACCCAGAATGCTTTGCCACTCTGATGAGCCCCGAGTTCCACAGGCACAGCATCTCCTTGAGCTTCACTGAGGACCTGGCCCTATGTATCTCTTCATCTGGCTGTTGATTCACATCCTTAATATGCTTTTTAATAAATCAGTAATCTCATGAGTAAACAGGCCTTATAAAGTTTTATGAGCTGTTCTAGCAAATTAATCGAACCCAAGGAGGGGGTCATGGGAACCTCTGATTGACAGCCAGTCGGTCAGAAGCACAGGTGACAACTGGGCACGAAACCCTCGAGTCTGAAGTGAGGGGCGGTCTCATGGGACTGCGCCCTTGACCTGCAGAATCAGATGCTCCCTCTGGGTAGACAGTGTCAGAACTGAGCTCAATCCTCAGACACCCCGCGGGCATCCGAGAACTGCTGGTTGGTGTTGGAAATGGGTCCCGCGACCCTTTTCATTTCCGTATCAGGAATTGTTTTAAAAAATAGAGTAAATGAGTTGTTTTGTTAGGATTAAGTCCCGTGCTTCCAAAGAGTTGTTGCAAAAGCAGGAAATGCTTTCCCATCCAATGAAATAACAAAATCACAGGGGTGGTCCTGGTGATATATTATTGAATGCCCAACAGGCTGATAAGAACTTTCTAGGAATTATAAGCTCTTTGGATACACTCGGCAGCCCCAGGTGGTGGGCATTACTATCTTCCTCATTTAACAGTACAGACAATTTGAGACTTTGAAGGGGTAACACTTGAATCCCAAACCATCATGAGTCAGTAGATATTACTAGAGAAATCAGCAAGCAGACCTCACAGACAAAGAATCAGAAGACTCAGCTACGAACACAGAGATAAAGAAGTGGTTCACTGCAAATTCAGTACTCAGAAAAGGAGGTAAAAATTGAAATATTTACCTTTGGAATGGGGGGGTCTGCGTTCTTGGCTTTCTACCCACAGTTAATACCAACTGTGTGCTGAGTGTGCATCTGGCTGTGCATTAAATATTTCACAGCTATTGACTCATTTAATTCCTACTGAGCAGCACTATTATCTCATTTTACAGAGGGAGACACTGAGACACAGGCCTGGGAGCAGCAGCTTGATCCCACTGGCAAAGCCTGTGCCACAGCCCACGTTGTCAGCCACTGTGAGACGTGTAAGCTTGCCCCTAATGAATGGCCAACTTTTCATTGTCCAGGAAAAGAACTTTTGACTCAGTGGAGCCTCCTAATTTGCCTTTAATCTTCCCTGTACATCACCCCGCCCGCTATGGAGTGGAGTGGAATGGTGGGGACAAGCAGATGCACCAGGCATGGGCCAAGGGCTCTGAGGGTTATAGTCGGTGACAGATGCAACTCCATGGCCGTCTACCCAAGGCACAGGGTGCTTCAGAAGCACGGGAAAGAATACTGCACCCTGGGTAGAAGGTTCTAGGAGGACACTTGTGACCAAATTTCACTGGCGGGTTGAACAAAGAGAAGCATGAATAATCTACAGGTGGTAATCGCAGTGGATGGAACTTTTGACCAAGGAGGAGCCAGGCAGCAAAAGGTAACGCAGGTTCTCTGGTGTCGTCTTGGTACCAGCAACTGCGTCTTCTTCCTGCCAGCCCGGTGCCCGGCCCGGCATGCCAGCCAGGGCAGTGGGCCCAAGGCGCCATCTCCGAGGGAATGGCTCTCAGGGTAACCCTGACTCAAATTTAGCTTATCCTGTCACAGCTCTTCCGAATCTGTTTTCTCAAGGAGCCTCACACCCATCTTATGAATGAGCAAAGAAGGAACTGCTGTTCCCACTTACAGATAAGGGACTGTGAGGCTGGGAGTTTACGTGCTGGTCCCAAGTTCTCCCTGGAGGTTACTAGGCATTGTGGAGAAAACCAGGAGCGCACTGTACTTGGGGCAGCCTTGCCCTTTTGCTGTCCGGGAGGAGAACGGGGGAAGGAGGAAACCTCCAGGAATGAAACTCTGTGGCCAGGGGCGCTTGGGAATCAACCTGCATTATTTCACGCAGAACCCGTGCTTTTCCTGCAGAACCCATGCTTTTCCTGCTTCTCCCCGTCTGCACTGTGGTTCCAAAACCCAGAGGCAGGAGGAATGGATTTCTGCAGGCGCAAATTCCAATAATAAGTAGAGGAAAACGGGGTTGTCCGGCTTCTTTCCTGTTTATACACAGAGCTCAACAATTTCTTATGGTTAGTGGATTGACTCATGCGTCTCACCCTACTACACCCAATTAGGAAGCCAAGTTTCTTCCTTCATGCTCATTGGGGGGGGGGTCCTTCAGGCTAAATGGATATCTGGTCTTCAGGGAAATCACTAAGTTTGCCATCATTATTTGTTAGGGGGCAAAAAGTAACTGTGGCTTTCTCTGGTTGTTGTATGTAAGGCTTACTCTGTTTGATCGTGTACTTCTGAGATAAGATGGACAATAAACCTCACACATGCTACAATTTCTGACCTCTCCATATTTTTCCATCCAACTCGAGGCCTTCCAATTCTTGACAATCTCAAGAAACTGAAGGGAACTCAAGACTCTTTGTGATGTTACTTTTCTTGTTCCATGCCCTGTCTCTTCTTAGGAGAAAGCCTTCTTCTCAGCGAAGACATACCTGCTTTGCTATTGCTGGGCACTCAGGCAAAGGTAAGAAAAAAGATGGTGGATCTCTGAATCGACAAAACCAAACCAAATGCCCGCCTACCAGGTTATTCAGCATTTGCTAAATGGAAGATCAATTTGCCATTTGCTGTTTTGTGCATCATGACCTGGTGCTGATACCCAGGGAACTGAGAGAGCTAGATTTTGTATACCAATAGTCAGTGAACTCCGGCAGCTTCAACTGTGTCCACTCCAGGTCAGCCTCCTTGCTGAGCAGGCATCCTGACCCGATGTCAGGGTGACTAAGGTAGACAACCCCGTCACCACCCATGGGAGGGCTGTCTAGCAGTTACCTCTTAGTCTCAGAACTCTTGCTGTCTTTTGAGCGGATGTCTGTGAACAACCACACTGGCATCTAACTGCATATTGATAAGGTGTACAAAAGCAAAACAAAGCAAAGGGCTTATGAAACATGTTAGTGGTTTTGTTGAAAAACACGCCCAATCAAAAATGTTGAAAAATAAGACACTGTTTTATCGCTGATGCCAAATGGCAAATTTTCTGGTAATAGTGAAGAAATCCCGCAATTCTCTCCAAATTGACAACCAGTGAAATTTTGGTTACCCCACCCTCCTGAATTCTATGGATGGATAACATGTCATGAGGCTTGACATGTGTCCATCCTCCTAAGCGTTTCACATGCAGTATGTAATCTCAGCCTCCCATCAAATCTTAATCTTGGTAGGAGGGCTTATCTCCATTTACAAAGCTGGAAGCTGCCCCTCAGAGAGGTTTAGTAATTTGCCCAAAGTCAGATAATTCAGTCATTTTTTTACCCCAAGCCTGTACTTTAACTCCCTGCATAGTATTATATTCCATTTACATGATTCATATTTGAACAAGAATTAAGATCTAGACTTGTTCCTATTTTATATCATTTTCCCCTTTCTTCTGCATTTTCTCCTTTTGTTGGGTTACTCGAGGTTGTGCCCGGTCTCTCCCATGTGGTAATCAGTCCTGGACTCCCAGCTAATTAGGAAATAATAGACAGCCTGCTCAGTCATACAGCAGAACGGACCGTCCAAAGATCCTTAACACGCCTGCTCGTAGAACACACTAACAGGCGCTGACTTAAGAATTACTGTTCAAGTTAAAAAAAAAATCAGTTTCATAAGAGAGATAAGTTCTAGGCCCAGAAAGCAAAATGACCTAAAGGTGGTGAAAAAACAAAGATCCAAATTTAATTTTAATAAATACTTAAACCCAAGGACTCAAAATGAGTCTGAGGATTTTATAGGCTCAATATCCGTATTTGGGATGGGAGAAAAAACATTAAAACTTCCCTAGGAAGTCTCTGCCTCTAGAATAAGCACTGCATTCTAATATCACAGATTTTGACATATTCCTTTCACAAGTACACTTTTAAATACAGGGACCTGTTTGCCTGTTTGGCATTTCACTGCCAAACTGCTTCCAGTCTTGTAAGGGTTCCTAGGTACCTACCCACCATTGGCTTTAAACTTAATTCCATGGGATTCTGTTCCTGCTAGTCTTTGTGAAGCTTGTGCCAAAGAGCATGTTTTCTATAAACAGCAGTGAAAATGTATTCTTCTCATTCTATGCAAATAAATATGTCATCCATACTTTTGGCTTGCTCCATTATTATTTGAACTCTTCCTCATTTGCATGCTTACATTAGGCACAAAGTAAAATATGTATTTAATCAGAAGGCCACTTAATCAGTAGACAGCGCTTTTATTATTTGTTTCCAGTATTAAAACATGAAATCGGGATCATTAAGATTGCTAACACCTCAAAGGGATTTCAAAGCCTTTAAATCTGCTGTCAGTCAAGACTCAAAAGAAATTCTGTTCCAAGTTGTGATACATCCCCATCATCCAGATTGCCTTAAACTATTATTGATTCTGGAAAAGATAGGACTTAAGTGCAATAAACAAAGCAAGACTCACTTCTTGGCAAGAAAACACGTCAAGATTTTCCTCTGATTTGCAGAGGGAGA